CTGGGGCCCCGGAGCCTGTTCCGTCCAGTTGGGGGTGGGACCCCGGACGGTGGAGAGGGCTGCAGCAGAGAGATGCAGACCTGGGTCAGCTCCTGTTGTACCTCAGACAGGGAAACATGCCGAGGGCAGAGGAAAGGCGGGCTCAGACGGTGGGGGTACGACAGCTTCTGGGGCAGTGGAAGAGGCTGCAACTCCGAGAAGGAGTAATCTGTCGTTCAAGGCGGGATCCCCGTACACAGGAGATCATACATCAGGTTGCTGTACCGGAGGGCCAAGTTTCGGAGCTATTGACTGCATATCACACCCATACGGGCCATCAGGGCCAAGAGAGGACACTATCCCTGCTGAGGAGGTATTTCTACTGGCCTAGGATGGAAAAGAAGGTTGAGGAGTTTGTTCAGAGTTGCCCACGGTGTACGTTGTTCAAGCGCAGGAAGGAAGTCCGAGCTCCATTGGTCCCCCTACGACCTAAAGCACCTCTGCATATTGTAGGGATAGATTTCCTGACTCTGGGTCGGCCGACGGACCGATTCCAAAATATTCTGGTCATGACCGACTTATTCACCAAATATGCTTGGGCTGTCCCCACCGTTGATCAAACGGCAGTTACCACGGCCAGCGCTCTTTGGAGAGCAGTGATACAACCTTTTGGCTGCCCAGAAACCCTACACTCAGACCAAGGTTCAAATTTCGAGTCCCGGGTCATCCAAGAGCTGAGCCACCTTTATGGGTGCCGAAAAACCCATACGACCTCATACCACCCTCAGGGTAACGGGGGGTGCGAAAGATTTAACCAGACCTTGTTGGGGTTATTGGGGACCTTAGAGAGTGAACAACAGGGCCAATGGGCCGAGAATCTTCCCTCGCTGTTACAAGCCTATAACAATAGTGTGCACAGTGTCACAGGGTATGCTCCTTCCTACCTTATGTTTGGGCGCCATCTCCGTTTGCCTGTGGACTTGCTCCTGGGGACCGAGACTGCAGAAAGAGGGTATAGTACCACTGACTGGGTGAATCGGCACCACCACCAACTGCTCAATGCCTACCGACGAGTCTCAGACCATCTGAGTGCAGCAGCCGCCAAGAATAAGCGGTTATATGACCGGACTACCCGAGAGGCCCCGTTGTTACCTGGGGAGCGAGTGCTGGTAAGGGACAACCGGCGCCCCGGGAAGGGGAAGCTCAGCGATCGCTGTGTTGAAGAGCCTAAAGGGTTGACTTGGAGCAGAGTTGGATACAAGCTTCCTCAGGAAAACCGTTGTGGTGTGGAGATCGCCCAGTTGAGTTTGCTGGATCAGAGTGATCGTTTGTGGGAAGTCTGCTGGACTGAGCTATCGTCTGGATTGGTGCTGTGGAAGGAGAGAGAAGAGATAAGTGAACTGATTTCATCTTATGAGCGTTCAAATTGCTGGAAGAGGATGCAGTAAATGTGGATCTGATTGTCGGAAGAGCTATGTGTTTCAGAGTGTGTTGAGGAGGAATTGAGAGAGAAATCCCTCGTGGAGCGAGCGCAACAAACGAAGTGGGGCCTCTGACCAGCCTTAATGTGTGAGTGAATTGCAGTGCTTTTGCCTTATTGATACACATTGATTTGTGGCTGTGGAATTGAAGTGAACACAAGTGTGCTGTGCCTTTGCTGAGAAGTGGCCCTAGCCCCATTTACACGTTTGTGGAAAGTTACTATATCTGCTCCCCATTGGAAGTCCAGTGTGATACAGCTGCACTGAAGAGGGTACTCTGTACTGTGAAGGTCCTTAATTGTTATTTACTGTTTTGAGCCCAGAAGCCTACTGCATCACTGGAGAAACGATCTTTTAACCCACTGTCTCCTTACTGTGAATCGAAGAGAGTACTGTGCAGATCCTTACCTGTTCCACTTACTGTTGAGTTCAGAGGCATGCAGCATCACTGGTAACGTACCCTTTTTAACCCATTGTCTCCTTACTGTACACTGAAGAGAGTACATTGTACTGTGAAGATTTTTACCCGTTCTACTTACTGTTTGAGCCCAGAAGCCTACAGCATCACTGGTAACGTACCATTTTAATTCATTGTCTTCCTGCTGTGTACCGAAGAGAGTACGTTGTACTGCGAAGATCCTTACCTGCTCTACTTACTGTTGAGTCCAGAAGTACACTGCATCATTTGGGAAGCAACCTTTTAATTCACTGTCTCCTTACTGCGAGCTGAAGAGAGTACTGTGTACTGTGAGGAGCCTTACCTGTTCTACTTACTGTTGAGTCCAGAAGTACACTGCATCATTTGGGAAGCAACCTTTTAATTCACTGTCTCCTTACTGCGAGCTGAAGAGAGTACTGTGTACTGTGAGGAGCCTTACCTGTTCTACTTACTGTCCGAGTCCAGAGGTATACAGCATCACTGAAGGACGCAGCATCATGGGCGAAGCAAACCTTTAACTCACTGTCTTCCTCCTGTGGACCGAAGAGTACCGTGCGCTGTGAAGAGTCCTTACCTGCTATACTTATCGCCCGAGTTCGGAAGTCGGCAGCACTGCTGGGAAAAAGTAAGCTTTCAAACCATTGTTCCATTACGGTGTACCGATGAGAGTTCTCGGTACTGTGAATATCCTTACCTGTTTCTACTTACTGTTTGAGTCCAGAAGCATGCAGCATCGCTGGTGAAGCCGTCTAGTGATTCGCTGGCTCGCCCCCCTGTGAACGGAGTCCCCAAATTGCCGCCCAGGGGACACCGTGACAGTTGCAACACGCCCGCCCGTGACAGAAGGATATCTAGAGGACAGTGAAGGCTATCCCATTGATGCCCCTTGTTTTATCGTTCAATAAAGATTGTTCCTCCTTTGAAACTTACCTGTGTCTCCGTAGTCCTCTGTTGTGTGCCTGTGGTGTCGGCTCCCCACGGTGGTGACTCAGTAAGAGAGGGGGGGCGGTTGGTCATCCGAGCATTCCTCCCCTCGACCTGTGTGACACAAGTCATTCACGCAAGGTGGTGGCATTCGTGTTTTTATGAAAAGAGAGAATGTTTCCACGCTACTACAAACTAAAGTCCCCATGAAATCAAAATTCAAGGGTTTTTTGTCTTGTATTATGAATATGTTAGTCTTACTGTTATCTATAAGCTAGCGATAGCCTACTCCAAAACAATGACGAAATTCACATTTACAAGATATATTCGAAACTTACAGACAGTCTCTCACTTCCGCCAATATTAATCAATGATTTTGATGACATCACTCTGCACTTCAGATTTTCTGTCCCAAAAAAAAAAAAAATTCTGTCCAATCAAATGTTCTCTAGATTCTAAAGCCCTCTACATTATAAATATACACTGAAGCTGTGGTGAAAATCGTCACTTGTTCACACATTTACTATTTGGTGAATGGCACGTGCACTATAGGGGATATGAACTATTCAGTCAGTGTAAATGCTTTCCATTGGAGCGAATGAAGTCTAGTTTGGTAGTGTCACGCGAACCGACAGCGCGGCGCGCGCACACAGTCTGCTTCGGTCCAGAGACACGACACAGAGCGGATCATATGCACGAGTCGGCGCAGAACAGAAAACATATCGGACTCGGTTAGATTCTGCACAGAATGCTATATTTAAAGCGACATGGAGGAGAAATGGTTGTAGGGATTATTAGGAGGAAAAGCTCAAACGGCTCTGGTCGAGCTGTGACATAAACAAAACACTATTGGGTTTTGTTGTTTTTTTTCCAAAGGAGAGCTGTTTGATATGTCCCGCCCTGTAAATTACATCAACACAATGAATAATACTGCATTAAATTACGTTTAATATTATTTCTCACATAGTTTTTTTCATTCTGGAATATGTTTTTTATTATTATTATTATAGGATGGAATTTGTCTTATTTGGTGGTCCCTGTCATTACCAGTGAACGTCCTTCATCATCAAGCTCAGAATGTGTCCTGATGTGTTCAGCTGTGAATGTGAGTCATGTGACTCTTTCCTGGTACAAAGGAAACGGTTTATTCTCCAGCATCAGTGTGTCTGATCTCAATAACAGCATCTCTCTACCTCTGGAGATTGAGTGTCTGGATGATTCCTACAGCTGTGTGCTCAACAATTCCACCAGCAACCAAACTAAACTTCTTAACAACACTGAACTCTGCCAACCATGTCCAGGTAAGCCAGTGGTCAGCAGTAGCCTATAGTATATTTCATCCGAACATTGAATCAGTCTTCTTCTGTCCTCAGACTCTGTCCAATGTTGCAGTTTCACTGAAGCTGTGATGCGATTGGTCATCTCTGCTGTGGTAGGCGTGGCTACTGTTGCCATAGTGGTTTATGACATCACATCCAGAAGAGGAGAAGAGAAGCGGTAGATTTCGACTTTTGCAATATATGCTAATTAAACAATAACACACAAGCCAAACTGCTGCTGTGGTTTATTTTGTCTGAGGTTCTGCCCTGTTTTTGCCATATAGTGACTGACCGACATTACCAATATTTTTATGGCCAATATTTATAATAATAATAATTATTTTTATTATAAAAAATAATCTATTTACAAACATCTGAAAATAAAAGTTAACTAATAGGCCTAATAACAAATCAATAACCGATTAAGTAAAAAACACTGAATATTGTTTGAAACAGTGAACTATCTAGCCAATGTTTGTGTTTACATTTAATAAAAAGAGGCATAAGAGCACAGAAACCTAAATACGGCACATTGGAAACTGTAGCTAACACAAACATTTTGAGAAACAATAAACAAGCAGTTCGAGAAATGAAAAGATATAAGCAACAAACAAAAATGCATCAAACCTTTGAGCTTCTTCAGTTCAGTTCCTGCCTTCCTGTGGAGTTTAATAAAAACAGAAAGATTCTTTAAAAAAAACTAAAATATCCAAAAAGCCAAGGCATGAGTGAAAACCCAGTAAAACTGCACAGTTGCACAGTTGACTACATTTAAAATGATTATATTATGTATATGGGAAGCATGTAGTTTCCAAAGTTATTCACACACCCACAAAAAGAGACAGAACCCCTTAACGGTTTCATTTGCAACCACACATTTATTAATTTAGCACAGGTGTGTTGAGGCTGTTGTGGTTGTAAAGGAGGACTGCAAGATGGATGGATTTAAAGGTCAGACGTCACTCCGTCAGGCGTTTGAAGGACTGAACCGTGGGGCAGACGGCGCCCCAGTCCACGGGCTTACGATATTCCCCCTTCTCAAGTAGGTACTGGCGCCCCCTGTAGTTTGGGTGCTCGTAGAAGATCCAGATCCCATCCAGCACCTTACAGGAGTGAACCTCGCGTGTACGGAAGAGGTCCACCACGGATGGACAGTCCTCGGCGGTCTCGTGTACTTGGCCGGCGAAATCTCCCTTGTCATAGAGTTGGATCTTATACTCAGAACCGCTTTCCTAGAGAGGAAGGGACACCTATTGAACATCAAATACGCACTTCACAATGTTTTGCATTCATGTGTGCAACTTACAAAGTGGATCATCTTGCAGGAGCAGAGGCGGTCGTTCAGACCCATCCAGCGTTGGTAATCTGGATACTCGCCCCGGGTCAGAACATACTGGTAGCCAATGAAGTTGGGCCTCTCGAAGACCACCCAAGCCCCGCTCTCCACACGGATGGAGTTACACCGGTTCAGGTAGACATGGAAGTCCGAACAGTTGCTGTCGCACTCGTACCGACGGCCCTGGAAGTTCTTGTCCTCGTAGAAGATTATCTGTACGAAGGAGACGGTGGAATTTTATTTCATCCTTGTATATTATTATAATAAACTACCTCTAGTTACATTATAGGTCTATATATTATTTAAAAATATGATATAAAAATCTGTAAAATATATATAAAATAGAATAAATATTTTTAATAAAATGATCAATAATCAGAGCAGAGTGTCCTGATCACCTTCGTACTCACCCGGCCCATTCTGCAGAGGTTCGGCTGGCAGCGGCGCCTGTGGAGGGGGTAGAGGTGCGGAGCTGTGCTGGTTCAGGCCCGTCCCACTCCAGGTCTTTTATACCCAGACATCTCTCTGTAAAGAGGACATTTGCTTTGTCATGAAAATCAGATCCAAAAATTGAGTCAGTGCTTTCTAGAAAAAGACTAGTGGATTATAGGGCATAGAGACGGCAACGTGCGCAGGGGTCTGTTTGGATGTGTGTGTTTATTCAACTGTGTTGGTAAGTACACACACACACACACACACACACACACACACACAACCACATGCACTCATTTTGAAATTTTTGCTCAGAGAAGTGTATAACCAACTTCCATGGCCTACACAACATTCTTGGCTACACAACAGCTGGTAGTACAAACAAACGTGTGTAATACACTTTAAAATGTGAAAACATGCTCAGATAGACACAAAATGCCATTCCTGGCTGCAAGCTAAAATCTCTGCCAAATTTCAGGGGATTAGATAAGCTTATATGGCTTCAGTGTGACCTACTTCCACCCAAAAACGCACAGACAGTTTATTTTTTTCCTAATTATTTGTTTAATATATTCATGTCTAACAATACATATTCTCTACAACTAGCAAAAAAACAGCTACGGCTATCAAATTTAGTAAATGCTCTAAGAGGACTTTAGTATATAAAAATATACATAGCATAATAGATGGCTAGAAGTGTCCACAAGAAACAAAATCAGCGCTTGGATGAACAAGAAACTGGTTAAAGACACAAACAGAGGAAGATATTGGAGCTAAATATGCTAGTTAGCTAGCTAGTTCACACAGAGAAAGGAAATTAGGATTCCAGATTTAAAATACATTAATAATTCACTAATATTCATGAAATAGACAATAATCTGCATTTGTTGAGATTCTAAAGTGCAAACAGTCTACACTTTGCTATAATGTCACAGGAGTTGAGGATGAATACAAAATGGCGGAGAGCTAAGCTTACAAATGCAAGTGCTATAGTGCTAAGTCATTCTTGTGGTGTTGTTAGTACATTAGGCTATATTTAGGCTATATGTCAAAGTTGCCTACAGTGGTGGATAGACTGTTGTGTTCACAATCACATAATTAACTAAAATCATTTATTTAAACACTGTTAGGGGAATAACAAGGGGGCTACTATTATGAAGTAAACTTGCTGTGTTGGTTGTTATAGAATCAGCTGCGCGAGGTTTTATGGTGTGCGCATGCGTGGGTGTGGGAAGGAAGGAAGTTCAGTAAAAAAACATGTAATACGGTTTCTGTGTGTCTCGGCTCTTTTGTAAACATAATATTGGCGACGAGGATGGCTGAATTTGGTTTACCCCCGCCTGCACACTTTCTTGCCGTCCCCGGAGATCCTCCAGTTCCATGGGCAAACTGGTTGGAGAGTTTCACAGTCTACCTGGACGCTTAAGGCTTTGATGACATTACCGACAAGAGGAAAATGGCGCTCCTCCGCCATTGTCTGGGAGTGGAGGGGCAACGCATTTTTCGCAATCTTGGGACGCCCAACGACTATGATGCTGCAGTTACCCTCTTGACGACCCATTTCACTGGCCACCAAAGGACTTTACTCCGTCGGTATAAACTTCGGAAGCACCTGCAACGACCCGGTGAGTCTGTTCGAAGCTACGTGACAAACTTGAAAGACATGGCGCGCTTGTGTGATTATGGGGCTTTGCAAGATCAAATAATTCGGGACCAGTTCATTGAGGGGACATCGTGTGAGAAAACAAGAGAAAAGCTGTCACTAGAAGCAGACGATTTGACTTTAAGCAGAGCTGTGGAGATAGCGCTGCAGATCGAGACAGCCATGGAATGCACGTCTCAGCTTGCAGGCGCGCGGACAGAGCTACAGAGCAGTTACAGCCTGCCTATCACACCAGCATGCACTCCTCATATGACAGTCGGGGTTCAGAGCAAGGTTTCCCAGTACAATTCACGCAGAGACAGAACCATAGGCGAACTGCAGAGGTATGTGGTAACTGTGGTTCTAAATCACACAATTCTAAGGCACAGCATTGTCCTGCCAAAGGACAACAATGTAGAAACTGTCTGAAGCACAACCATTTTGCCAAGATGTGCCGTTCAGCCCCGGCCACGCTCCCACAACACACTGGACCTCCACCAGTTCAGCACAACTATACAGAGATCCGAAATGTGACTGCTGGTCAGGTGGCGTTCAAAACATGTACCGTCCAGTTAGCTGACGTAACTCTACCCTTATTAATGGACACTGGTGCGGCTGCATCGCTCCTAAATTCAAGCACTTACTTTAAGTTTTTCTCTCACCTGCCATTAGATCATCCTGCCACCGCTCTATGTGGCTATGACAGCTCCAGGATTGACATCCTAGGTGTGCTCCACGTGCCGGTCCACTATGGCTCCAAGCACCTACCATCTTTTCCCTTTCACATTGCGAGGAGGGGAGCCAACCTTCTAGGCCTGGACCTGTTCACAGGCCTGGGGTTCACGCTCCGGGATGATGCTGGCTCCGACATTCACCACATCACCTCCACTTGGCAGCAAAGGTGGCCGGCTCTGTTCGATGGCCTAGGCTGTCTTTCAGCCTTCACACACAGGCCTCTGGTGAACCCGGACGTGTCACCTGTCATCCAGCCCCTGCGCAGGATCCCCTTTGCCTTGAGAGACGAGGTCACCCGCAAACTTGAGACACTCCTGGACATGGGAATTATTGAACCGGTCAACGCTGCTCCCTGGATTTCAAACCTAGTCATTGCAAAGAAAAAATCTGGGGGAATAAGAATATGCGTGGACCTACACTTGGTGAATAAGGCAGTTATTCCAGACAGATATCCTTTGCCCACCTCAGAGGAGCTCACCGCACACTTTCACGGCTCAACAGTCTTCACAAAGCTTGACTTGCGTCAGGGCTACCTGCAGGTACCACTCCACCCAGCCAGCAGGGACCTCACTGCTTTCGTGACGCATGCTGGGGTGTTCCGGTACACTCGAATGGCCTTTGGATTAAGCTCCGCCCCTAGCTGCTTTCAGAAGGTGATGAGCACAATACTGGCCGGCATCCCTGGGGTAGCAGTCTTTCTGGATGACATTGTTATTCATGCCCAAGACATCGAGACACACAACAAGCACCTCCAGAGGGTGGCTCAAGCCCTTCTTCAGAACAACCTGACTCTAAACCCAGAAAAATGCTGCTTCGCTGCCCCAGCCATCGACTTTGTTGGGTTCCGCTTGTCAGCCAAAGGGATTTCCCCTCTACAGTCCAATGTCGATGCCATACACAGGATTCCAGAGCCGACCTCAGCCTCTCAAGTGGCCTCATTTTTAGGCATGACGGCCTACTACCTCCGTTTCCTGCCCCACTACTCACAGACCACTGCACCCCTCCGCCAGCTGCTTAAAAAAGAAGAGCAATGGCACTGGACTACAGCATGTTCTGAGGCCGTACAAACACTGAAAGCCCAGCTCACAACACCTCCTGTACTAGCCCACTTCAACCCTGAATGTCTGACTCTAGTCACCTGTGATGCTTCAGATCGGGCTATTGGTGCAGTCCTCTCATAGGTGCAGGACGGGGTGGAGAGACCTGTAGCCTTCGCCTCCAGGGCATTAACACCAACAGAACAGCGCTACTCGGTGGGTGAACGTGAGGCGCTTGCCTGTGTTTGGGCTTCAGAGAGGTGGCACCTTTACCTCTACGGACGGCGTTTCACCCTCAGGACTGACCATCAGGCCCTGACCGCATTGCTGACGGCATCTGGATCCGGTCATAAACCCCTGCGCCTGCACAGATGGGGGGAAAGGCTGAGGCAATATGACTATGTACTGAAATTTACCCCCGGAAGGGACAATGTAGTCGCCGACTTACTCTCTCGTTCCATCGATGCCCCCACACCCATGGTCTCCCCTGACGAGGACACAGAGACTGAATTAATTCACATGCTTCACACGCCCTTGCAGTCGGCCGTGTCATTGGAGGAGTTGCAGCAGGAGTCAGAGCGTGACCCCACACTGTCCTCGCTACGCACGTACATTCGCTCTGGATGGCCAGCAAAGGTTTGTGACGAGCTCATGCCATTCACAAGGGTGCGTGATGAACTTTCATGTTGGGGTGATGTTTGTGTCTCCAGGGGCTTGTGCACCGTGGTGCCCTGTAGTCTGCGGGCCCGCGTGCTATCCATGGCACACGAGGGGCACCTAGGCATTGTTAAACTCAAACAGCGATGCCGAGATCTCATCTGGTGGCCAGGCATCGATCGCGATATTGAAGCCCTCGTTAAAGATTGTGTGCCATGCCTCCTTAGTGGGAAAACTGGACCTCCAGTGCCAACCCCTCTGCAGCCGGTTCCATGGCCGTCCCGCCCATGGGAACATCTCCAGCTTGACATCTGTGGAGAGATCCATGGTCGTGGAATTCCCCATCATCAGCGTTTCCTTGTGGTGCTGTACGACCTCCATTCGAAATGGCCTGAAGTGGTTCCGGCTGGAACTGTCACAACCCAGGTAATCACAGACATTCTAGAAGTCTTGTTCGCGCGTTGGGGCATGCCTCGCGCCATCACGACAGATAATGGACCTTCTCTGCAGACTTTTCTCAGTTCCTCAGTGATAGGGGAATCAAACACATCCGCACAGCATACTACAATCCACAAGCAAATGGCGGCGTGGAGCGGTTCAACCAGAGCCTAAAGAATGGCGTCCGGGCCAACCTGGCTCAGGGGTGTACATTCCGGACAGCACTCAACCAAACCTTAATGCACTACAGGGCCAGCCAACACGCTACAACCGGGGCCTCTCCAGCACTCCTCATGCTGGGCCGGGAGATGGAACTGCCACTGGACAGACTTAAAGCACAAGGCATGGCAGTGCCTACAGCCGGCAGCTCTCAGGCTCGGACCAAAGCCGCTGTAAACCGACACCAGCGACGGATGCAGCAGTATTTTGACCGGAAACACAGGGTCAAGGCCACGGCTATTACCGCAGGTGACTGGGTTCGAGCACGTAGGCCGCATCGGGGCAACAAGATGGCTTCATACTGGAGCCAGCCCTTTCAGGTGCACCGCCAGCTGGGCCCAGCCACATTCATGCTTAGTGACGGATCACGATGGCATGCTAAAAGACTGAGGAAAGTGCGGAACCCAGGTGAGGAAATGGTGGCTCCACTGCCATCGGCCCCTCCTCCACCGGTGCCGATATGTACAGGGCCACAGCAGGCTTCCCATACTCCTCAGGCCGTACCGTCACCAGCGCCCCAGCAACCTGCCCCTGACCTGCAATATCACCTGCTTTCCCCTGGCCGTCAGTCAGATCCAGGGCAGGGCTGTAAAAAGTCCAGCTATGGGGAACTGCCCAGCGGTTCTGGAATGGCCGCAGCCTGAGGTTGCGGAGGGCCGACCCGTAAGGGCCAGGGTCCGCCCTGCTTACTTAAAGGACTTTGTCACAGAGTGACAGTGTAGGCCTTGCACTAGGTATTGGACTGTTCAATTGTTTTGGCAAGGACTCAGTTTTGCATAAGTTTAGTTCTTGGGAGGGAGGGGGAAATGTTGTGTTCACAATCACATAATTAACTAAAATCATTTATTTACACACTGTTAGGGGAATAACAAGGGGGCTACTATTATGAAGTAAACTAGCTGTGTTGGTTGTTATAGAATCAGCTGCGCGAGGTTTTATGGTGTGCGCATGCGTGGGTGTGGGAAGGAAGGAAGTTCAGTAAAAAAACATGTAATACGGTTTCTGTGTGTCTCGGCTCTTTTGTAAACATAATATAGACATGTATATCTGCATACCTAAAAACATTCCTCATCAAATTCAGTACATACTCAAAAATATGCAACACTTCGTAAAAAAGGAGGGAAACTTGTTGTGTGCCCTGCATGTTCACATATGACCACTAGGGAGCAGCATTCATTTTTTCTTCATAACACTATCAATGCCCAGTTAGCCACAACAATGCATCATATAGGATATAGGCAGGCTCATATTTTCCTCAGAAAATGGAAAAATATCACAAACACTATTTGTGTACTAATGGAGATGGTGTAAAATATATTTTTGAAGTTGAGTAAAAAATTCGTAGTTACTTTTTGACACTGGTTGTCGCTTTTCAGGTTCAGAATGGGTTTTGCGGTTCATATTCACTTGTGAAGTTAATCTTTATAAACAGCTTTAATCTTCCACATATGAGCCCCACATCCCAAAATACCAAAGCATACCATTAGGTTATAGCTTGGACACCAATTACATTCTTTGCACTTCGCTGTTAATATGAATAGCACACTTGCTTGCATTAGCCTTTGGCTAAATGTTTTGGTTTTGTACATTTAAACTCTACTTGTCAAGCTTTGGCATTACATTTCTCAACAACTAAACAAGAGGACATGACATACTCACTTTTCTTCTGCACAAATGCGGTTTTGGGCATTATTAACATATAATAAACAATGCTAACCTGGTATGTTTAACAATTGTGCAACATGTTTTGTTTCGTTTCCCATTATCTGTATGAAACCTATGTTAAATCACTTTCATTTGTCATTTTTGTTCTGTTACAATCTGTTCCAGACTTAACTGGGACGTCCATGTTGTGTTCTAGTTTCCCAGGCACTGCGGTCTATATATTGAAGTATCTTTGGACAGCTTTGCTGATCACATAAATAGCTCATCTGGAAATAATAATAGCTTTATTAGCACCTGTCATACAGTGTATAAGCCAAATCACTCAGCAGGGCACAGCTTATGGATATTATACAGATAAAAAAAAAAGGATATGTTTCACAAAAAGCAGGATAGTCATCTGGAAAAAGAATGTAGAATACAGATAAAAATCTGAAAATTAGCCTCTAAAGTGCATATCAAATAGGCATTTTTACCAATGCATACAGTGTAATTTTCTCTTTCTCATTTCTTAAAGTAAGTCACAATCCCTTGGGTAGGAGATGAAACGTGAAGGTTCTCCTACTGTATATGACACCAGAGTGTGCATTACATAATAACCTAAAGCGCTAAATAAGCCCATAAGGTGATATCATTCATATTTCAGGGATATAGATTCATTCAGATTAAATATAACTTTAAATTAAATATATACTGTATGTGTACTCATTTCTTTGTTGCATCAAGAAGAACCCCATGTATTTACAGTACAACAACAACCAGAGGTAGGGTATGTAAATAAATACATTTAAATGATTAATATATGCATGAGAGTAATGCAAAATCTTTTTTTTTTAAGGTTTTTGTAATAAAGCATGATCATGTCAAGTTTTCCATCCTGCATAATTTTAGATGGGAAGACACAGTATTTGCACTTTAAATGAAGTGTAAACTATATGCATTCGTAATACGAAGCAATGTAACTTTTTGAGGCGAGTGTAATTAGTAGAGAAGATCGTAGTCGACATTTTCCTTTTAGCATCTCATTCTCCCCGCAGTAATAGACTGATGACCTTTACTGTTACTCATTTTGTAAACGTCTGTGCGGGACAGTACATCGGTGTTGCCATAAATCTTTTGTTTTGGCTGCTGAGTTTTGCTATAGTTGCAAATTTCGCAATATTTTGTTTTGATTCACACTACAGTTTCCTGCAGAAACAGAACTTGATACACCCTTAGCGTTCACTGGAGTGTAAAATTAATTCCAGTAGCATTTGTCAAATGCAATAAGGCATCTTTTGTTACTCTGCACTGAATGTGAAATCTTGTCTGTATCCACATTGGCCATTTTCCACTGTGAGACTTAAGACTAAGCTCTATAAATAAATATATAAACTAAACGCATTTTCACCAACCAATTGCTATTCTATTTTTTGAGTAACGTAATATATACTAATAATTAAAAATAATCTGGCAGTAGAGTGTCCACAGAGAACGTCATACTGTAAAGTCACAACTGCCTCAGAGTCAAAGTCAAAGACCTCAGTTTGAAGAAAAATCAATCAATTAAAAATTAATTTTGCTCGCAATTTCTTAAAGTAGCCTTATGTTCTTAATTCATTACAATCATAAGAGCAATTTGACTTCCTGTTTTTCGAACACTTTACTGACGATTTGACGGGGTTTTTTTCTCTCTCAAATGGCAAAAGTTCTATGACGTCACTAAAGTGGTGCACTTTTCATTAGCTGCTGAGAAATGTCACAGTCGTGATGTAGTAGCATTGACATCACTGCGCAAAGGTGGGTATGCTGCGAGACCGTCTCATGACCAGACGGACCTCCACGTTAGGGAGACTGTCCTGTTTTATTTGGCTGCAGCCCTCGTCCGCAACAGCCATGTGAAGGTCGAAACGCAGAGACACAGACTTCTTCCTCAGCTTGGGATTTCCTTTAAAGAATGAGCCTTCCCACTGCCTGATGACCTTGTCAATCTTCTCTGTCCTATCGCACACAAAAAAGCAACACAATAGGTTAATAAGGACGTTTGGAGCATAAGATGATGATGATGAAGTTCCACCATCATTTTTATTGCCTGCAAAGTCTCATGCAAACACGTCAAGATCTTTGTTCTGAAGGTGTGAAATGCTTATGGTTCTTCAGTGCAGCTAAGCAAGGCTTGAAAATGAGTCTAATGTAAACTCACTCCACATTTCCGTGACCCTCTGCACTCTCCCTCACTACATTTCCTTCCAGAATCTCCTGAGTCTTCACAGTGCAGATCTCCCCGTCTTTATTTCTGACTGGTTCTGGATGAAAACCACAAACACAAGTTGCACAACATCTCTCAGACTCACAGTTGTATAATGAAACTGTTGTTGAGAATGACACCTCAAGTCTGAAACGAGGTGCATTTCAGTGTTAGGTTGGACAATGAGTTTGAGGATGTTTGACATCATCCTCACCTGTCAGGGTGACAAGACTCTGCTGTCGTTGAAGGGCTGGGCTTCTTATTGGTGTTCTCTCAGTGAAGAACGGCTCAGTAATATCCTCTTCACATCCGTTGGGTAGACCGTTCTGCTCAAGAGAAGAAATTGACCCTTTCCACGGCTTCAGCTTTAGAGACTGAACATCTGAGGTCAGAAACCTGCAGTTCAGGAGTGAAAGAAAAAGCACACTCAAGAACACACTCAACTTCTTAGGAACCTTCGAAACCTCTTTGGGTTTACTGACTGTGAATAATATCAAGGGCGCACAGCCAACTCTGTTAAAATTCCAGTGTATTACCTTGGTAGTTGCATAAACCACATCATACAAGTTTGAGCGTGTGCTAAGGGTTTTATTGCATTAACGAATACACCTCAGTAAATCTATCCCTCCCTTACCTGCCCTCCTCGTGTTCTAGGAGTTTCCTATAGGTCGCGATCTCTCTCTCCAGCCTCATCTTGGTGTTGAGGAGCTGGCTGTGGTTCTGTCTCTGGACTTCCAGACCATCCCGCACTGTTTCCAGCTCAGACTCCAGACTCCTTACAGACCGGGACAGATCCTTGAGTTGCACGGAGTACTGGAGCTGAGTGTGGTGTAGGGAGCTTTTGAGACTCCTCTCCTGGTGGGATAAAACAGATTTGTCATTTATTACCAAAATCACTAGGGTCAGCCTACAGCACGAGATACTGGGAAAGGCTGCAGCATCCCTGTGACCCTACATGAGTACAAGCAATTTGAGAATGGATGGATGGATGGATCTCCATGGTTGGTGGAATGGAATAGGGGGTTGAAAATAGAGAGCAGTGACTAAAGTTTGTAGGGTCAAGTAACACAAGCAACGCAACTTGTATTAAGGGCAAGTCATTTTAGTGGTCAGTTATTTTCCCCCACAAAGTCCTTTGATGACGGTTCATGTGATGACATCATGTTTTACAGGGACAATCCCACCGGAGCAACCTGGGATTAGGTGCCTCACACAAGAGCACAATGGTGATGGCTCATGGATCGCACCTTATGGTGACTGAACCATGGAGTGTTTTTTATTGACGGTCCCCCTGAAGGAACAAGCTATTGAGTACCTTGGCACAATGCTGATGACTCAAGAATCCCATTTTGCAGGGATCAAACTAGCAATATTCCAGAAACTGACAATAATCCCACGGATAAATCTAAGGTTAAGAGGCTGACTCAAGGGTATATGGTGATGGCATGTGGATAATTCCTTGCAGGACATCAAGCAACCTTCTGTTTATCATCCTTGAGTTTAACCACAAAGCCACCACCATTAAGTATCTTGATCAAGGACACATGGTCACTGGAAATCCTAATAATTCTACAATTTATGAACTGGTCAAGTGGTAGAACAAGGCTCTACCAACACTTGGGTTAGATTTCAAGGGCTTAACCTGCATAACATGGTGCCTACAATAGGGTTTGGGCTTTGGGATTTGCCAAAATCAAAAACTATTGTCACTTGAAATAGCCATTTGTGGTTATTCTCGCTACTTGATTTTGGTAAATTATGAAGTCATGAAAAGAATGGTGACAAATCCTACAGGGATTCGTCGCCCGTTCCCTCAAGGTAAAGTGTGGATGTGCATTTAACACTCAATCGGCACTGCAAACTAATTGTTTGATCTACTAAAATAGTTGTTGAATCCAATTCCGGAGGTTCCGGATTCAGATCTGGCTTCTTCTGGCATAAGACCTGCGTTCATACAATTTAGCAGTTAGTGATATTTTAATTGTGTCATGTGTTAAGGTGAAAGTGAGAGTGTGTGTTTAGGCGTGTCTACATGTTCCTGAATTGAATTATGTGTGTCCGGGTGTGTCTGTGGGCATGTTTGTGGGAATTTAACGTACCAAGGCATTTAGCGATTCAATCTCGACCTGTAGACGGTGCCATCGCTTTCGGGCCTCAGTGAGCTCGGCTCGTGCCTTCTTCAGGACCTCGTCACCTGCTCTCACCTACCCACAAACCCCACCACACACAGTGTATACATAAGAATACTGCAAACAACAAAAATATGCATTTTTGAGCCTTTTTTATATTGCTTACCATGGTTTATGGAGGTTTTATCACACTGTGCCTTAGGAAACATCTTACTCATGGTAAAATTACTTTAATAAATAGCCTCTCTGGCTTATTGTTTTAGTAATCAATGATTTACCTCACAAAATAAAGTTATGTGCTAAAGTGGGACTTCATTCAGGACTGGTAACACAAAAGATCACATTAAAGAAAACTGAACAGATCCTCTTGTGGTCTGAGCTGATGTAGATCAGAGTCCAGGAATCAGCTCAGTCTCCATCTGATAAGAACGATAGCAGTTCCATAGAAATGGAAAATTACATGCATGTGTTCCAAAGTACTTGTTCCAAAAACAACATCTTATCCAATATGAATGATAAATGAATACTTTAAATGGAACGTTCACACTAATAAAAAAGTACCACCATGATTTTAGACATAGTGCTCTTATCCTGCCAATTGGAATATCACGTTTTTTTTTAAACATTTCTCATGGTAATACCTTGTATTTTAAACATGGTACCATGTAAATCCTTTGTTTTTGGACACCCACCAAGTACCTTGGAGTACTATGGCATAAATACCCTCAATTTATCCCAGGAGTTTTCATAAAGACATGCTGCAATGTGTTGCTGTTTTTCAAGGAGAGTTATGAGGCCAGCGGCCCGTGTTTTTGTGTGAGGGCATAAATTCTCAGGAAGACAAATTAGCAATCACCTACTGATGAGAACAGGCAAAGACAATGGTTATGCTCAATGGGACTGACATCCCTCATTCCTTTTTTAATAATAATTGATGTTTAGCAGTCTTTTCATTCCCACACACACGCGCGCACACACTACGATTGCTCTGCAGTGCCTGGCCAGCAGACCATAGAGAGTGTTTGAAGAGAGAGAGAGAGAGAGAGAGAGAGAGAGAGAGAGAGAGAGAGAGAGAGAGAGAGAGAGAGAGAGAGAGAGAGAGAGAGAGAGAGAGAGAGAGAAAGTACTCGTACCTGTGGCAGAAACACAGCCGTAGGGCTGGTTGCATCCTTTCTGGGCCTTGTCTGTGAAGCGGGGCAGGAGCCTGGGCCTGGATTTGGTGGGATGGCTGAATCAGGGCTGCTCTGGGCTGGGCTGGAGTGGTCGCACTGGGTGCTAGTCCGGCAGAGATCCATTCCTCTGCCATCCTCTCCTGCAGCAACCTGCGCTAGCACTTTATCACACTCCTCTACTGCTCGCCGCTGGTGCTGATCCAGCTCTCTCTGTCAGCCAACGAGAAAGAGAGAGAGGGGGTGGAAAAAGAAAGGGAGGAAGAGGAGAATTTAAAGGGCTCCTCTCATGAGGAATCAAAAGGGTCTGACGAAAACATACTGTGGCAGAACTTCTTCCCGAGTCTACAACAACAAAAACACGTCATTCAGACATCTGCAACCCAATTTCATTTGTCTATATTTGTATGTCATTGGCCCGACTAGTTATGGAGAAGATACATAAACAGGATAGATATTGTTACTCGTAAACCTCCGAGACGAAACGATAAAGATTTGTTCACCCCAACACCAAATATTTGCAGCAAACATGAATTTAAATCGAAACAGTTGATTCCTATGGAGGAATTTACATTGGAGGGGAAACTTTGTTCACTGACAGATAGAAGTTAGATTTTTTGCTTTTTTGTAGTTGATTTTTTTAGATGTAAAAGGTAACTACAATTGAGTGAGACAACTAATATTACATCAGCATTGCATATTTAACAACTGTGCATGATATGCACACACCCTATCCCGAGGCTAACCGCAACTTGGCACTAAGGCATCAGGGAACATTTTTAACAAGTATTAATACAAAAGACAGACGTCAAGGTTTCTCTCATTAAATGATGAATATAATATGTCATGCACAGTAACAAACAATTAGACACAATCAGTAACTGAAACACAGTGTCTCCACCTCATGTTCCTCTATGATTTGTTGCAACTCATTTTGGGATTCATAAAGCTGCTTTTCCAGGAGTGTGTTGGCCGTCTCCACCTCTTTCTTCTTCATCTTCAGCCGCGAGACCTCCTGCTCCTTTAGGAGACGGAGTTTCTCCTCAGTTTCACACCTACACACACATGCACATGCTTAGGTATCTAAATGTAAGACACACAACAACAGACTACTATTGTTTTTATAAAAAAGCTAAACTGCATTTTTAACCTTAAAGTGCATTTAAAACTAAAATATGTTATATGCAGATCGACTTGACAATTGAGAATGTCCCTAAAAAAAAATATATATATATATATATATATAATTATATGAATAATAATCGTAATACAATAATATAAAATAATAGTCTTTTAGGGTCAATGCAAATAGAATTAATTTTACAACATCCTTCACTTATTTTCATTATATTTCTTTATTATACATTTATATTTCATTAAATTCAAGTATTAAATTGGAATTTCTCACAAATCCCAAAGGTAACCCCCTGTTGGGTAAACTCGCCTTAAAGGAATATTCCACATTAAATAAAAGTTCGGTTCTACTGTAAATGATTTACACAGAAAATCATTTGGATTCTTAATTCAGTTTGTAAAAACATCCCAAAAAGTGCTGACAGAAATACACTTTCAATGAAAGCACGTGGAGCAGGCACAGAAATATTTATGTAAACACACTTTTTTTTTTTTTACACAAACTGAAGAATGACTTGTAATTATTTTCTGTGGTAATCAACAGCATGCATTTAACCCAATTTTAAATAATAAATATCACATATAAACATACAGCCTCGGTGCAAGCCCTGTTATTAAATGCAATAAACTGATCATATTTAACAAACAAGACGCTGACTTTCTATGAAAGTTAGACGGATGTCATCCGAGAACATCTTATGTAATTGAAGATTATGCGTCATATTTGTAATTTTTTCAGCTTAATTAATTATCAAGCATTCAGTGGTATTTCCAGGCACTTGCTGTTTTTCAACACAAGAGGGCAATCACATGTTCAAATCAACATATTAGTAATATTTTGTTCTTTTGATGTGAAATATTTCATTGGAATGTTCAGAATGCGGTGCGCATAATGAATAAGCTCCACAATATGCAAATTTCCTGACCTACTTCATTTGGACAAATGCACAAAACATGCTATAGGTGTGTATTTCCCACAATGCAAAGTCTTCAACCTTCAACTTTCCTCTTTAAAATAACAACAATTATAAATGTCTACTTTGTGTCAATTTAAAAACCTGGTAATTTCAGGTGATTTTCATATTTCTTCCTCTAACCTGGTCTTTAAATGTGCGGCCTTGAGTTTCACTGCATCAGATTGGAGCAAAACATCTGCATTTTCCATTAGGATCATGCTAACCTGTCAAAACAAACACAGAAGAAGGAGAATTAGGAGGGGAAAAAAAAATAAATTTAATCAAGATAGAGAACATTATAATTGCCTGTGGGTAGAAATTACACACTTTAGCAATTTGGTCGAAATTATGATATAATTTATAAAAAATTTTTTTTTTTTTTTTTTAAACTTACAAGGCTTATTGATGATTAATGACTGTCAACACCCATCTAACCATGGGAACTTCTGAAAGATTAGGCTGTGCATCAACATGCTGTTTTTCTGGCTGTCTACCTCCAGTCAGACAGTGTATGCAAAACACAGTGACTAAAGGAAGTTATGAAGACTAAAATGCTGCCAGGATTTTTCACCTAATGCTTGTTGTGCACATTGCTTGTTGCATTGATTGATCTCTTGACGGAGTGATTGATTTCCCCTCCAGAGCACATAAAACAGTTAGCTATCCAACACATAGACAACAAGTCTGCATTTTTGCAAATCTTTTGCAGGTTGTTATTATGTTAGGGTCAAAGATCAAGCCAGGTGCGAAAGGATTAACGATCTTTCGCAAGGTCAGTATGGCCTCTGGCACCGGAACGGATTTAGGAAACACAGGTGTTAGACGTCTGTCCAACATCCCTCTGGTAATGAGTTAAAGTACCCGTTAGTTATGCCATCTAATTACTGCATGCATATTGTACCCAGTATACTGTACACAGAACATACTGAAAAACAAGTATGCAAAAAGAGTATGTCATAATGAACAAGTCATCAAACCTGAATACAGAACATCTTGTAATTAGTATGAGTGGCACAGTAAATTGCATACTTTATACTGCATAAATAGTATAGTACAGTAGTATGGCATTCTGAACATATCCTTGGATTCATATATATAGCATTATAGTATGGCATTCTGAACAGTATTTGTCTAAAATATATAGTACTGTATGTCATCTACTGAATATTGGCATACTCCACACTGTTAACATACTGCATAAATATTAAGCGTACTGTGGTAGTATGGCATTCTAAATATTGTGCCGCTTATAATAATTACATGACATTCAAGATTAATATTTGTTTATTATGACATTTTTGCCTACTATTTTGCATACTAATACTATTTTGCATTATGCACTATATACAGAATACTGGGTACAATACATGCAATAATTAGATGGCATACTACGTATTTGAGATGAAGGATGTATACTGTTCACTACTGCATACTGCATAAATAGTACTACAGTAGTTTGGCATTTTTAATTTTTTTTAAACTAAAATATATAGTGTCATCTATTACCAACCAACCGCCTAAAACCTTTAAACTTTGACTTTGGCAATTAGCATACTACACTTACTATTTCAGCAAATTAGTATGCATACTGTGCACAGTTTTTTTTTTTTTTTTTTTACATGACCATACTTGGATGACCTACTAAATATGTCAAAATGTGCTGTATAAAACCAGAATTCCACTGGGTTTGTGTATCCCACAATGCAGTACGACATTTAATATTTCCCATAATTCCTCTGGATTGCTTGATCAGACATTTTACACGAACTTGGATTAAAAATGCTAAATAAACACAGATTTGTTCCTTTATATTTTAGCATACTATTTAAAAATAATAATAAGCAGTACACTGGTATTCCATTCCAAATTAAGTGTTTATAAACAGGTTTATCAACAGAACGGTATAGTTTGGTAGAATATTGTTTCTCTCATGAAGCACAATATTATCTTAGCACATTATGTTTGGCTGTCTGCCATTTTTATGATTCATGAGCTTTCGTGACAGCAATGTTTGGTTAATCATTGTCAATGTCACTGAAAATCACCATAATGTAATTTGAGGTGATATAATGAGTTAGCACAGCTAATAGTGAATGCTTATGTGTTTATACAGCTAATGCAAACTGAGTCACAAAGGTTCACATAGGGCATATTGTGCTTTGGTTTTAGTTTTTGTTCGGAATGTGTAGTGCGGTAATATGCCATTCCAAACATGTCCGTCGTATCAATTATAGCATGCATACTCTGCACAGAATACTGCATAGCATGAGTAGTATTGTAGTATGGGATTCTGAACATGTTGGTATAATCAAATATATATTATGTCATCCAATTAATGTATGCATATTGTACCCAGTAAACTGTACATACTGCATGTTGCAAAATAGTTTTTAAAAATAGCTATAAAATGCCATAACCAACATATCCAATCTTGAATATAGAATGTCATGCAATTTTTACATGCAGCACAGTATACAGTACCTACATATACGCCAAAAATAGTATGGAATGAGTACTTATGCCATTCTGAACTTATCAAGAGACTCAAATTTATAGTATGTCATCTAACTGTTGCCTGCTTATTGTACCCAGTATGCTGCAAAAAAAATGCTATGCAAAAATAGTATGCCATAAAGAACATAACATTCTACTGTATATTCAAGTTGAAGAATATGTAATTATGCACAGTATACAGTATGAGTCCTGCAGCATAGATAAATATGTGGTTAAGCGTTATGTGGTAGTGTCACTCAAAACATATCCTTAGATTCATATATATAGTATATTGTACTTGGTGTACTGTACATACTGCAAAATTATATGCAAAAAGCATTGTACAGTAACGAACACATCCTTAATCTTGATTATAGAATGTCATGTAGTTATTACGAAACAATCTTAGTATCAAACATAGTTTTTTATCTAATTATTACATGCATACAACATTTTAGCATATTCTTCACAATTAACATAATGCATAATTAGTATGAGTAGTACAGTAGTAGGCATTCTGTAATATGATTACTGAATGCATATGCCATAGTGGCATTTTGAACTCAGTGTATTGTACATACTGCATACTGCAAAAAAATAGTATGGTTAGTATGCCATCAATCTTGAATATAGAATAACATAATGCATACTGCATAAATAGTATTAAAGTGAGTATGCAAAAAAATAAAGTATGCCATAACGAATAAATCCTTAATCTTGAATATAGAATGAAGGCAATTATTACATGCTGAACAGTACACATACTGTAAACTACAAAATAGTATGAGTAGTTTGATCGTATCCTTTCAAATATATTAGTGGCACTAATTTAACAAAGATTTGGGGCCCACATATAAACCAACCAACTTCAATAGGGCTCCTTGGGGCCGCCAGAATTGCACATTTTTGACGTTTTTTAACCAGACAAGCCTCTGAAAAATCATTAGCAGAGGCTACATGACCTGATTTGGGTGTGTCAAAGTACTTAGACACCTAAAATGCGCAGTGGAGCCTCCAGGGGCCGAATTGAGAAACACTACAGTAGATAACGCATCTGAGAAAAAGATTTAACGTCTTAACTCGTTACCTCAGAGCCAGTCTGAGGGGGTTTTCAGGGCCACATTGTGTTAATGCCTTGGGATATCAAATGTAATGATGCAGATAAGATGCAGGTAATAAGCACAAATGTCACCAACCCACCTGAGCCCAAAGTTCCTGTGCCAGCGCCTCCTTGTCGCTCCAGTTCCGTCGAGGAGCGACGTTCCTCATTCCCCACTCGCCGATCTGCTCCTCCAATTCGCAGTTGGTCTTTTCCAACTGGTTCACGTGCTCCAGAAACCCCTTCAGCTTTTCGTTCAGGCCCCTGAGGGCCGATTTTGGCTCTTCCAGTCCCTCCATGGGGCCTCTTGCGCGGAGCAAAACAAAATGTCTCAGAGCCCGTGCTGTCCTGCCACGCCTCAGATGATAGGATGTTTACCGAGTAAATATTTTGCTTGAATACCGACCGTCGACGTGGCTCCTATAGGGACAGGGACCAGGCCCTTTCCCTGGCCCTTGGGGTCGGACTGGTACTGGGACAGTGGAAGGGGCCAACCAGGGTCCCATCAGCCTCGTGCCGAAGTGAAAAGCAAGAGGCCACAATTTGTGTCACGAGTTTTACTGGTGCTTTTGTTCTCGCTGATCCTGGATTACAGTCACAATTCACACATAAACAACACACACACACACACACACACTGCACAGGTCAAAGTCCATTTGTGTTTTATCTGCAATTCTGCATGTGTGTTTTTGTTTGTGCCAGCTTTGTAGCTCGTATTTCGTGCGGTTTGGTTGTACCGCCGCAGGCTGTGTGCATATGCGTGTTTGTTTTCACTATTAGATTCTAGGATTTGATGAAGCCTTCAGTTCTTTTACTTAATAGTTTTTCCTGTCTAGGTGAACTCAGGTTCAGAGTTGTGACGTCGAGGCATGTTTAAGAGCTTCAGGGCATACTTACAAAAGACAAACTGCCTTACAGCTCCAGCGTTTCACTTAAGCCGTGCGGATTAACCAAAACATTCTGGGCATTATGAACATTTATGTTAGTTTACTGCTATGCACAAATATAGGTTAATATTGTAGATAGAAACAAGAAATAAAGTATGGAAGAATAATAAAGTTCGAGGATAGTTTGAGAACCGAGCTTTCAATGAAAAAATAAAAGTTGTGTCATTGATTACTGCATGCATAACGTGCTGGCTTTTTGAACCCAACATACACTGCATACTTCAAAAAAAATATGTAATTAGTATGCCATAACAAACACCCTTAACCCTTAATTCCTGTAGAAAGTTAAGTTATTATTAAAGTCCCCGTGATCCAGGGCTTGCTACCGACTTTACTATTTACCGACTTTACTTGACGTATTTCCAAGTGAAACGGAATATTTAATAGAGTGCAGGGTTTTATTTTAGCGCACCACCTCTCCATCCCTCGCTCATAGCAGACTGACGGTCGGAGGAGAGCGGTTAGGGATATTCAACCCAAGCCATCAAACTGACAAAAATAGAAAGAAATCCTGAGTATTAACGGATTAATTGTTCACCACAAGACTAGTAATATAATAGCAATAGCAACATAGAATAGCAAAACAACGTAAATACTAAAAAGGGTCGATTTTGATTTCATGAGGACTTTAAATGCTGTAAACATGTGTGTACTGCATAAATAGTATAGTATGCCATTCCTAACATATCCTTCGTAGCAAATAAAGTATGCCATCTAATTATTGTCTGCACATTATTGGAATATTCTACACTGTAATACTGCATAAGTATATAAAAAAAAAGGTAAGAGCCAAAAGAATAGTATGTTCTCAAACTTATGTTCTAAACTTTCAATAAATACTAAAGACTTATTTGTATCTTTTTATCTTAAAAATGTTATTCTCTCTTTATTTTGTATTATTATTTTTTTAATTTTTTCTTTAAAAAGAGATGTATAACAAAAGAGTCCAGTGTTATATCCAGTTTGTATTAATCTCATTATTTATAAATGTATAAGAAATTCTAAATTGAAAAAATTATTTAAAATGATATACGATATATGTTTTATATATATTTAATCATATATGATTTTGAATGTAACTTAAAATTATATTATTGAAATAAAAGTGTTTCATTTTCAAATATTTATAAATATAAAGTGTTATATTCGGGTTGTATTCATTTAATGAAATGTTATATATATATATAAAAATGTATAATTATATAAGTGTGTGTGTACAATTTGTGTGTGTTAGGATTACATTAATAATATGACATTTATTTATAATAAAAATAAATATAATAATTAAAATTCATTTGATATAATAATTATAATAACTGATAATTAGAAGAATATAAACAAATTAAATATAATTACATTCATTATAATGGTGTTATTACACACTAAAAACTCCTGGGTTATTTCTTCAACCCATTTTCTGGGTTATTTTTGACCCATGAGTTTTTAGTGTGTGCATATATATATATATAACACCATTCCTTGCTTCCTCAGAGAACACACTGTCAGCTCGATGAGAGAAAAACAAAAGAGAAAAATCTTGTGACTGAGACAAACAGATGAAGGAAAGAAGTAATTTGCATACAAACCCAAATGGTGCTACTAGAATGACTTGTTTATTACGCAGTTGCGCAAACAGCACGATGACGGTAAATGCTGTGCCAGTTTCTGTCCGTTTGATCTACCGAACCAAAGTTCATCAGAAGACAAAAAAAAGAAAGAAAGAAAAGCCAATCGACTTACCAACACGCCCTCGCCCGTCACACCCCTTTTCTTCTCCACCGTCCCTGCCCAGGTGATTTCCCCCCAGATGCGAGTCATTGAAGTGTGCCAGTCACAGTACAGTGAGAGTCCGTCTGTCTGCGGTGGTCCCACCCCGCACATCTGGTTCTGCATGGGGTGTCGACGTGTCTGGTTACCTGAACATCTCAGAAGTTACGGGACGGGGAATGCAGCCCGACCTGTTAGGCCCTGGCGCTGCGTGCTCCATGAGAAAACAAAGTGGTCTCATGAGTCGTCTGAAACAGGAGTGCAGGTAATTACAAACAGGTAATGACCGAGCAAGCGGCTACCTGTCCGACAGCTAAATTACAAGATGGCTTACGGGAAAAACAGAAGCTGTCAACTCGGACCAACTTTGAGATCCGGAAGGTGACACACTACCCACAGTGTTTTACAAGGACTGCATGTTCCCGGTCGTCCCCGCCTGTCTACAGTCCTGAGCCAAATAAGATCATACTTTAGCATTTTAGAAATGGCAATGGTTATCGAAGCCACATTTATAACATCAAAAGGTGCATCCATTTTTTGGTCAAGTTCTTGTATTGACACTGCAAGAGTCCAGCACTCTGTAAAATCTCCTCCAGCACATTCCCAAATACTTTCACTGAATTTAAGGTCTGGACTCAGAGGTGCCGATTCATGTGTGAAAATGATTCTTCATGCTCCCTCCGGAACATTCTTTGAGCCTGATGAATCTTGACATTGACTTCTTGAAATTTTGCCAGGATGTGTCCTACATGGTTGATTAAACAGCGTCCATCAATTAGGATTTGAAGAACTGTTGCCAAACATATAACATGCTAGAAACATAATAATCACAGCAATAATGATTCAATCAGACTCTTAAGCATTTGCCTATTTAAATCCAGGGGACGTGTCTGTGCATGTAACTTACAGTAAAACTTTGCGTGTATAGGCTAGTTAATATCTTAATTTCCACAGTACATTAACATACTGTACGTCTAATCACAGAAAGACAGTAGGTGCCCCACCTGGACACACCTGTGCATTTAAAGGGGAACAACGCTAGGCATGCGACGCTACAATCCACACACATACACACACATATATATATATATATATATATACACACACACACTTTTTATTTTTTTAAATATAATTTTACTAAACAAATTATTTATTTGTAATGTTGTTAATATTAAAAAACATTCATAATTTCTTTTCAGATTATTTATATTAACAAAAAACATACTTATTCCTCTAATTCATAAATCTTGACCAAAAAAAACTGGATGTCAGCAACTCAAATCAGCTCCATATATTATCCGTAAGACAATAATTATGGGTCATAATTCAGCTTAAACTCTTCAGCAGACATTTTATGACTGTCTCGTCGGGTTTATTGACACAAGGATGTCTCGGTTAGAAGCTTTTAAAGAATTCAAAGCTTTGCACCAAGATTTGTTTAGTCTTCCTCACAACTGCATCTTTTTGAAGTACTAACAACATTATCGTGGGTGTAAACTAATGGGAATCGCTTGTACTTTTAGCATTAATCCATCGCCGTCATAACAAAGAAACTCTTAAGATAATCTGACTTCTGCAGCGATTTAAACAACATGTTGAGAAGAACTGCTGAGCTGGTCTTAGTCACATGAGAAAGTAAATATAATCATATACAAAAGGTGGATGGAAAGGGTAATAAAGATATATAAGTGCAGGGTGTTATTATATAACTGTCTTTTCAAAAGAATGACTTTCCATTACGCTTATAGAAATTATGATTAATTTCCTTTTCCATGACTGTTCTGTCCAGAACATGCGCTAACATGTAAATTACAGTATAACTTTGCGTGTATAGTTAATATCTTAATTTCCACAGTACATAATCATATGTCTCATCACAAAGTGTGTGCAGAAAGACAGTAGGTGCTCCACCTGGACACACCTGTGCATTTAAAGGGTAACAACGCTAGGCATGCGACGCTACAATGCACAGGCACGTCCTCTGGTCGCCATAAATACACATAGCTGTGTTGCCACTCAAACAAACAATGTAGAAACAACAGTTAATTTAAATAAACATATAAGATCGTGAGAAACGTATTAATGACAATTACTGTAGGTAATTAGGTCTTATGCATGTTGTTAGTCTTTTACTGCAAAGACTAGGAGGCTAGCTAATACTTGTAGTTTTCAACCGACAGGTCTGTTCTAAACTAAAATGTCTGGACTAAAACATGGAGAAAGTTAGCTTTAGTATTAAACTGGTGAGTGTTTTAATCAAGAAATACCGTAATACATGGAGAAAGTTAGCTGATAGCATTAATAGTACTATTAAACTTGTGAGTTTGTTTTAGTCAAGAAAGACTGTAATACATGGAGAAAATTAGCTGTTAGCATTAGTATTAAACTGGTGAGTTTGTTTTGATCAAGAAAGACCATAACAGATGGAGAAAGCTAGCTGTTAGCATTAGTATTAAACTGGTGAGTTTGTTTTAATGGAAGAGACCTGTAATACCTGGAGAAAGCTAGCTATTAACATTAGCATTAAACCAGTGAGTCTTTTCTAATCCAAGAGGTCTAACATGGAGAAAGTTATGCATTAGCATTCAATTGAGTTTTTTTTTTCTGATCAACTTGGAGAAAGTTAACAATAAGCATTCAAATTCAACTGGACTTTTTCTGATCAATGTCTATAGCCTAATGCCTGGAAAAAGTTATTTGTTAGCATTAGCATTAAACCGGTTAGCTCTTTTTGATCAAGGATGTCTCCTGGAGAAAGTTATCCATTAGTATTAGCATTCAACTGGTAGGTCTGATAAACGACTTTGTTACTTGTCGCTATTTGAATTTTCAATGTGAAATTTAGAGCAAAACCCAGTTTAGAGCCGCTAAAGACCTTAATGTTACACTTCAGTTGTTTTTTTAGGAGCTCATGAAGAGGTGATTCAAAGAGATGCTTCAATAAGCCAGAGTTGTTAGGTAAGATAAACAAACACTCAAACAGGATTAACAGTAAAAAGGCAAAAATTTGAATCGAAACACACACTGTCAACGGTCTTTTGCCGTTAAATAACTCAAGCAAAGTCATGATCTATCAGTCAAAACAAACATTCATGACTCCCACTTAAAAACGCACATTGTTCCGCAAACATGAAACATCATCCCGTTCGTCTGCTTCATTATCGGACAATGTACTGCTTGTCCGCACTAACCACACGAAACATGATCAAAAGCCATGAAAAGAACAGCAATGTCACAAAAGCCACATCAAAAGACATATTTAACAAAAACTATATGTCGTCAATGGAAAGAGACAGTTACTTTGAAAGCAAATTATTGAAAGGGTGTCATTCTATTCATATACACAGACATTTATAAGTTATATATAATAAATGTTTAATATATTCATTATCTAATTGATTTAAATTATACACATATAACATAATATATATAATTTTTACATTTTTTATAATTTGTTAACCCTCTATGGCACGGTGTTGCTCTCAGGCAACAAACTACCTTTTTGGACCTCACACCACCCCTTTCATTTTTTTTATTGAAAAAAACATTAATAATTATATATATATATATATATATATATATATATATATGCACCTGACATGTCTGTCCAATGAAATGAGGGGCTGAAGTGTTTGTGGCCCCTTGTTTGGGAAGCAAGGCCGCATGGGACACAGTGCCACCAATTGGTAAGAGAAATATCACTTTTAAACAATTTGAAATAACTTTATATAAAAAAAATATATATGCATCAGTATGTAAAGAAGAATGTTTGATTGTTTAAAGACATATTTTGTTTTTATTTATATACTAAAAATGTTTTTTTTTTTCTTTTTTTTTTCAGTTTGTTTTCTGGTAAACTTGATCTCTCGTACACAATGCATTCAACATTCAGAAATAAATTCATCATGATTGAAAACAATTTGCTTCCGCCATTACTTCCCAGTCATAATTATGACTTTGTGGTGGCGTTCATGTGCGTTCAACTCGCAAATACAATATTTCTGACATGACTTGAACCAATAGTCAATGTTTTTACTATCTCCAGTTAGTCCCGGTTTTCAGAAAACATCCAAACGGCCATTGGGCAGTGGGTTTGCGGACGTGTTTTTTTGGGGGGGTCGGCTAGCGCCCTCCGCCGACCCTCCCCCGCTGACCGACTGACCCAGGTGTGGTCAACGGGGCCTGACGGGAGCCCCCCGAAGTCCGAGACCCCAGAAAGCAACGCCGCCTTCATCCTCAGTGTGGCGCCACAAGCCCCTGTCCCACGAACCCACTATTTGTCCAATTACCCCCTATAGTGAGCAAATGTCCCCCCCAAAATAAAAGTTCATGCCATAGAGGGTTAAATTAAATAATTTATTAAATAATGAATGTTACATTTTCTAATATAACAATATATATTATAACATTTTATATATAGGCCTAGTTAATTAATCTGAAAAGATGGCATCATCCCTTAAAAATGAAAACAATTAACAGTGACCGCATGCTGAAGAGGAAATCAAGATTGATTTGTCATACTGAATGATGATCTCATCATAATTATCTTGGTATTTAAAGATTTATATAAATCAGACATAAACCTTCATGAGAATTTACACTATTAGGCTACATCAGCATCTCAAGTGAAAGAATACAATGAAAAATGGTTCTTTTGCACAAAAACTACAGCAGGTCAACCACAACGAGGTATCAGCTGAGAGCCTGAACATTGGCACAATAAAACACTTGCGTGTTAAGGGTTTAAGTCGCGTTTTGAAGTGAAACCCTTCACAAAAGAATTCTTTAATTTGTTTTGACACTGATTGGCAGTCGCTCAGGGTGAGAAAAGAGACTGCAAGTCTCAGAAAACAATTATGTAGAGGAGTGTCTGATGATTAAAACCAAAACAAGGATGGGCACATTAAGTCAAACGACAATAAGACTCGTCAGACTGGTCCGGGTGACGAAATGAACCGTTGGTTTTTGGCTTACCGAGGCGTTAAGTTGACCTTTAAGCCACATGACCTTTGCTGTGTAAACAGAAGTGATGCCTCTTAGCTTGGACATAGCTTACGCACCATAGCTTGGACAGTATAGTTTGGCTATTGTTCGACAGGTAGCAGCGTGTGAGAGAAAATCACTTGTAAAACTTGTAAATGTCGATGAGTGTTTTACATAGCATGGACCACACTTTAAACTCTTATTTATAGTAAACTGATTCTATGTTTATGCTTGCACTTAAAAAGCAATCCAGTGCACTTTCTGATGCAAGATTTTGTTGTTTTGATTACCATTTACCCCTGGTATATCACCTTACCACGAAACCACGGCCCAGTATCGCCTTTACATTTGAATACTGCAAGTTCTTCACCCAAAGGTCATTCCTTAGTCAGAGGACCAACACAAAACACAAAAACACATCTTTATACATAAATGATGTCATATTATATGATATTGGATACTGATATGCGATAAGATATAATTTATGCTCATATTTTATTATTGTATTATTATTATTATTATTAATTATTGAATTATTATTATTTAAAGGTGCTTTATGTAAGAATGTTCTTGTATTCATTCATTTTTTATTGCCAATGTATGAACATCTTGTAAAGAAACTAAAAAAACGAGACTTTCCCTGACTTCGTAGGTTGTCTATGACTATGATAGCCTGATTTTTATATGAAGAACTCGGGACGTTTTTCCGGGAAATTCAAAAGGATGTGTTACGCGCGGTCCCGAGAGTCTCTTCCGTCCAATTGAAACGAATGCTTATACAAGTCCGCGATATCTGTACTGTAATGTCAATGTGTCATGCAAAGCAAAGTGATTAATTACTATAGCCTATCATTATTTTTGTTGAATAATTGTAGCCTACATATTTAGTTAACCTTTGTTTTATTTTATATTATTTGCTGTAATCCGTTACATATTTCAAAATAATTCAGTTGACAAACCATTCACATGACACAGCTTACCCCCAAGTAGTGTTTTTTAACAAGTCATATGGCCATGCTGACCTGGCACAGCTACCCACTCTCTCCTAACAAACCCGGCGGATCAACCGGAATCAAAATAAAAGATTGAAATGAGTGAAATCACCAACAAATGGGTTTAAAGAAATTCATGACCCCAAAGACCATCCTCAAAATGGAAACAAGCGATCGACGCCGGTCACGAGATCCGCTTGAAAGACGAGTTCTTGAACGCTGATGGAGACGTGGATTTGGTCTGGATGAAGTGAGCTATGCAGAAGGGAGTGGAAAAATAACACGGAAAACGAGACACTCCCTCATTAGTCTATGAGAAATGAGCTCCGAATGAGGGAATTAGGCTACGACAGGTATGGAAGGGAAAGAAATAACAAAGGGAAAGGTGAAAGACAAATTAATTAAGCACACAGTCATGATGAACGACTAGGGAACACGATCATGTAATTGTACGGCGTGTCTAGGACATATGTAGGCCCAACTCGAAAACATTGTAAATACATGCCTTAGGGATGGTTAAAGTGTAGGCTACTTTACTAGAAGGTTGATAATGGATGACTGGGGGAAAAGTAAAAGTTCACATATTCAAGCACTTCTTGCGCGAGGCTTTTCGTTATTATTGAACGAATTACCTTCACGTGTTTCACATTTTCCATTGAAACTGGAGCTTGTTAAACCATTTTATGGCGCAATAATTGTTTTGCACGACAACAGTTCTGGTACTATGATCACTGACTAAAGTAGCCTCTGGCCTGTTTTGTGGCAGTCCGTCAAATCAAGCATATTTCTCATACACTTTCACATCTAATCAGGGCGTGGAGTGACAGAGATAATGAACTATAGTGGCTTAAAGTCCTCATTCTACAAATACCGAAGAGGACAATCACCTTATCATTATCACAGTCACTGGACAGGTGGTATGGGAACGATTTCATTTATAGCTGAAGTAATCAAATCCTACACTGTAAAAAAGTATATGATCAATAAAGTTATGATGTTTTTAGATTACTTTAAAAATGAGTTGATTCTTGTATGACTTAGGCTTTAAAAAAGGTTCAACATTTTTTATTTTGAATGAGTAAGACATTTTAATGTAATTTAAGTTGACGTTACTTGAACATCCAAGTTAATTGTGCTTAAATTTAAGGCAGCAACTTTTTTTTTTTACAGTGTGAGAAAGTAAATACACATTTAATATAAACATTAAACTCTTTAAAATATTAAATTTAGTCGCACTGATGTGTGGTTATAAAACAGTATTTTTAAGTTTTAGAGCATGTCACACCGCAACAATTATGAATTATATAGAGCAAAACTATTGAATGTATGAACTACTGACCTTTTTAGCCCTATATCAGGTTTAATCACTTTTACCGGTAACGAAAGTTACAAAGTGGTACTCTTATATCCTGACCCATCAAATCTTAAACTCCAGGGAATTTTAATGTTTATTAATAAAATCATGTCGATCAGGTTAATTGTGCCTCAGGGTCCTAGCTGTGCCATTTTATGAGCACACCCTGTACACACCTGTTTAATTGTTTTCCGATAATCATTATCATAAATAAGCTGAAATAACCCCACCCCTTATACCCAAAATTGTATAAAAGATCCTCAGCTCTCCTAAACCATTACGCAGCTGTCAGAGGTGTCCAACAAAGCGCAGAGGCAACAGGAACGGAAACGATGACTCAGATTACTCAGTCTTTTTCACGCAAGAGCATGTCCAGCTCCAGCTCTCGTCCCTTCTCCTCCCACTCTCTCACCGGTGGATACTCCAAGCGCATCGCCGTCGGTCGTGCGCCAAGTGTCTACGGAGGTGCGGGGGGCTCCAGCGTGCGCATCTCTTACGGACAGAGCAACAACAGCGGTTTCGACCTGGCCAGCGCGTTCGGCGGGGGTGACAATGGCTTCGGTATGGCTAGCAACGAGAAATCAACCATGCAGAACCTCAACGACCGTCTGGCCACTTACCTGGAGAAAGTGCGCTCCCTGGAGAAAGCCAACGCGCAGCTGGAGCGCCAGATCCGAGAGTGGTACGAGAAGAGCACCCCTGTCTCCAAAGATTACAGCCACTATTACGCCACCATTGAAGATCTGCGCAAAAAAGTGAGTCATTTTACATTATAGAGTTATATATTTTATATTATCTAGTGTGGAATAAGTCATCACAGTTCTTATCAAAAGGAAGATATCTGAATAAAAATCTTTAACTTTAGGATTTACATATTTTAAAATGTATATGATTTATATATATATATATAAAATCACTATATCTAATAATCAATTCTTAAATGATCAGAGAACATAAAATTTAATCTATTGATAAAAAGTAATATATTAATTGACATTACAGAATATGTAAACTGACTTTATATATATATATATACACACACACACACACACACACACACACATATGTATATAAATAAATGTCTAAGACACTGACTGTGCCAATGCAAAATGTTTGGTTTACCTTCATAAGCTGCATTTGAGTCTCAATTCTTCATCTGATTGTCTTCAGATCTGTATCGCCAGTCAGGACAATGCCAGAATCATCCTTCAGATCGACAACGCCAAACTGGCAGCCGAGGACTTCAGAGTCAAGTACGTACAAGCAAAAACCTTTACCCTCAAATTTACCCTCTTTTCATGAAGTTAGTATTGATTTTAATAACATACCCCACACTGGTTATTAAAACTTATTAGAATTTCCATGCTGAAAAAACATCTTATTAAACCAGCCTAGACCAGCAAACCAATCTAAGATGCTTTATTCCCTCAGCAGGATTTCCCCTTTTTTATGAGTCTATTAATGACACACCCAAAGTTAACACTTCAGTTCGTCTGAATTCCCATCCTAACCATTGCTATTCTTGGCGGCTTCAGGTACGAGAATGAGTTGGCCATGCGCCAGTCCGTGGAGGCCGACATCGCTGGCCTGAGGAGGGTTCTGGATGACCTCACCATGAGCCGCTCAGATCTCGAGATGCAGATCGAGGGTCTGAAGGAGGAGCTTGTTTACCTGAAGAAGAACCATGCAGAGGTGAGATCAAAAACCAAATTTGGCCCTCCAGGTAGGACAAACCTGGTGAAGCAAGGCAAGATTTTTACCCAATAGTCCACCAGACCAATAATCTTCTCTGATCAAGTGTCATTTTATACACTAGGCTCTATTAGCAACGCTAGTCCTGTAATTACTATAACCTGAAGCCATGGAGTTCTTTGTACTACCGTATGTTCAAAGCCTAAAGGTGTGGTCATATTGCTACCATTGTTTGGCAAAATCCAGTAATTCAACTGGAAATCTGCACGATTGAGAGTTTTGTATTCAGTTCAGCACACTAATTTCTAAGTTGGCCACGTGAATTCATCGCACTGACCAACAGAAAGCTGCTTGTTCTTAAATTGACTTCTCTGTGAGCAGTGATTCATTCAATCGCTATGCTTTTGACAACAGACCTTTTATTGCCAACAAAATTATGCTTATTCTGTGATCGCGCAATCGAATTTTCAGCGAAATTTCACCTTGAAAGACAGGTCCATGGTCCGTCAATAATGTATAATGTAGAGATGGATGGAGTACAGCTCACACAGAAGTCACTTTCAAACCAATGCTACTTGAAAGAGCAAACTTCTCCAACAACAGCAATTCCCGCTTTTCAATCCATTCTCTAAAAATATGCAATGTGTGAAAAACGACATGTATATCATTGATCTGTAGGAGCTCGCAGCTCTTCGTGCCCAAATGTCCTCCAGCAGCGTAAACGTGGAGGTTGACGCCGCGCCTCAGCAAGACCTGGCCCGCATCATGGAGGAGATCCGTCACCAGTATGAAGGCATCACCGAGAAGAACCGCAGAGACATGGAGACCTGGTACAAGGGCAAAGTGAGTGCTCATTGTTATTAATCCAGTCTGCGATAGCCAACCCGTACACAATCAGCTAGATGTTGACCTCGAACCTCTTTCCCCGCAGTTCGACGAACTGAACAAGACGGTCACCACCAGACAAGAAGAATTCTCAATGTCCCGCACTGAAGTCAACGAGCTCAGGAGAACACTGCAGAACCTGGAGATCGAACTACAGTCGCAACTTAGCATGGTAAAAGTCAAATGTGTACTATCTTTAATGAACCATTCAACCACTAGGGGGAGCTTTATTTGATCTAATATACATAGCAACACCCCTAATTATCATCCTATGCTCAAATGTCTACTAGCTGCCTCTAGAGGGAGCAATTTGCACAATTTAATATGCATAGTCCCGCCCCCTAACCGCTCTTTTACGCTTTGTGAAATTGCAGAAAGCGGCTCTTGAGGGCACACTGGGAGAGACCGAGTCACGCTACAGCCTCCAGCTCAACCAGTTGCAGGTCGTCATTAACGGTTTGGAGACAGAGCTTTCTCGGATGCGAATTGACATCGAAAGACAGGGCAGTGACTACAAACTGCTTCTGGACATCAAGACCAGACTAGAGATGGAGATCGCCGAGTACAGGAGACTTCTGGATGGAGAGGACATTCAGTAAGACTGATATATATATATATAAATAAAAAAAATTAACCATATTGTCTTTCTAAAGATCACAAGAGTTGTTTGAAATTTAATAAACTTTTTGTGTTACAGGAGACAGACAATCAAAGTTGTAGAGATTGTAGCTCCTCCTCCCCCCAAGCGTAAGTGTTTTTGGTTTTAAATTGAGTAAAAATATATTAAAATTTTTTGTTAAAAGCAATATACATTGCATTTAATAAAATATTATATTTTCAAATATTATTATATATTAAAGTAATCGTTTTTTTCTTGATTTTTCTTCTCCAGATGAACCTGTGGTGACCAAGCGCGTTCGCACCGTAATCGAAGAGGTGGTTGATGGGAAGGTTGTTTCTCGCACAGAGGACGTTGACGTCGAAGTCTTGAAGAAGTAAAAACATCATCAACGAGATCCATGAAGTCAGCGTGAATTAAATTCAATAAATGATCCCTGTTCAACACCTCATGTAAAATCAAAGATAAATTACATAAAAAAAGACAAGCTGCGAAATAAAATGTGTTTGTTCTTTCATTCTTGGATGATTGGAAGGTCGATATTTATCACAAACAACACTGAAAAAAGGAGTTTGAGGTGTATTATATTTGATTTGACGTGTGTCACAAGCGCCAAAAGACGAGTCAGCTTTTCTTAAGCACAATTTCAAAGTTTACGCCAGTAAGAAACAAAACATTCTGTACAAAAGACGTACTCGCTCTCTCACAGACATACAAACACAACTGTGAGATATACAAACATGACATACAGTTTCCTAAGTACTTTTCTGACGTTTTAAAAACGCACTAAAACAAAAATAACCACAGTTATCTTTTCAGAACACTTTTAATATATAACATTGTATTTACAAATATTTCACATATGACACTATGTAGTTAAGAGCCCCCCACAGGTGTCCGTATTTGACAAAAATGTTCAACATAAATAATTAAACGGCATATTTTTCCCCATCACACAATAACAGTATAAATTCTACAGTAGCACAGCTGACTACCACAGTCAGTTGCAAAGTGCTGTCCTTTTTTCGTTCGTTTTTTCCCTTAAATACAAAAATACCACCACTTCCGACGCAACGCCGGTAGTAAATTTCTAGCTGCTGCGCTATAACGACGTACACTGAAGCAAAATCGGCTCACATTCAAAACGGTGGGCGGGATTGGTCCTTGACGCCAATTCGTTTGCGCAATGGCACCGCAAAACATCGTACAGGGGGGAAATGTTCGTTAAAAAAAAAATGTTCGCAAACAATTAAGATGGTGTCGCATTAAAAACGTTTTGCTCTAGAATTCATACACATCCTTTCCCTTCAGAATGAGAACTTCATGTTTTGCAAACTAACATCATGTTAAATTCATTGATCATTAGTAAAAATGTTGCACTTATGGTGAATAAAACGCTAAAGTGGCCAATGTGTTCTGTAAATGCCATCATCTCTACAGCCATAGCAAGTACTAAATGAACTATGACCACCTTACGAGTATATTGCATGTAATAGCTAACGGGTAACTAGTTAGAGAAGAGGAGATATGGATAAGAATAAATAATGATTAGCAGAATTTTAACCTGTATCTTCAGAGAGGGGAGCAGATATCACTACTCAACACAGAACACAATTATTCATACAGGGAGAACCATTTAAATCTGAAGGTAATCGGCTTCTTGCAGTAGAAGTCTTGAAATTTGGATTGTAAACATGGAAGAAAATTGGGATTTGAGACTGTGACGATCTTTATGCTGACCAAAGAGAATGCTAGGCTAAATCGTATGTTAAACGATTAGTCTGAGTACATACTCATCAACTGAGTATGCAGTGTCCGCCACGAAGCTAATGTGAAATTCACAGCTTTAATTTCTAAATAAAACGCTTCAAAGATCCGGCAAACGTGGATCTGAGAGCAGAACAGCTGCCTGATGCATATTTAACGATACAAACGTCAGGCGTTTTACGCACTATACGTAGCCTTGCAATAAATAGCGATTAGCCAACGCGACGCACCAATTGGTTTTAGAGGCAAACAGCTGTGAAATTTGGCAGCAAGACACATCTTCACCATGGCTCATTTTCAACGCAGCTGGTGCCCGATAATTTCACTAAATTTAGAGAGAACCGTAATGATACCATGGAAACCGTATCAAGTATCGAAAGTACTTTACGCAAGTCTAAAGTCCCTTGCGAATAACCTCAAAATCTTCAGGGTAAAAACGAAAGAAAGTGTATCAATAAAAGCTTCATCGATGGGCTGCTTTTGTTTGACGATTAAAAACGAAACAAAATTTTTTTTCGTTAACGATTTAAACTTGTTTTAAACGTTAAAACAAAACAGTCACGGTCAAGAAAAGAAAATATAATGGGGCGAGCACCTGTTGCTTTTAAGTCAACTGTTAAAAAAAACAACAACCCAAAAACAAATAAATAACCAGTAAAATGTAAAATGCTGTCGTTAGTTGCAAGAGTTAATTCTGACATGGACTGTGGCTCATTTCAGCTTTTGGCACAAAAGCAAAAGCTCATTTCTTTCTCCGACCCAAATAATTAACGTTATTAACAGTACCTATAAATCAATAACCTGATACTGCGCGTTTTTTTTTCTTTCGTAAAAATAAAAAAAACCCCTCAAGTCATTGTTTGTCGCTGTAAAGTGCAATAGTGCTTTTTCGTCTGTATTCTAGCTTGCAGGCAGTCATGTCCACTGCCTTCCAGCAGGGGGCGACAGCGAGCTGAGCGCAGATCTCACAGGCAGTAGTTGTAAATCACAGAAGAAGCTCAGAAACGCTGAACGGGTGGTGTTCATTCTTCCTTTTCGACCGGAGGCTCAGTCTCGCATGGTTTTACAATCTCCTCTTCGTAAACTTTCAAAATCGCTTCGCAGACGAAACGGTACTGGCTCTGCAAACGAACAAAAAGGAAATGAAGTGACTCAGCTGCAGGATAAAAACAACTATGTATACCTGATCATTCAATGCAATTTTTGAGAGACTGTATCAAGATTTGTAGCATCGAATCTTCAATATTTATAAACTTAGACTGAGATATTTCATAGCAAGTCAACTATGTAGCTCATATTAGAACCTTTTATGTTGGATAAAAACATCTGACAAATGCATAACTGCAAATCTGTCCTAAACGTTCATTGTCAATTAAACAGTCTCTTCCTGTCTAAAGGGGCTTTCGCACCGGGTTGTTAGTTCTAGGAATTAGCCACCAGGGTGATTACCCGAGAACTAAATGTTCCTCTAGGGCCTTTTTCCCGATTGCATTCGCACCGCTAGTAGGAACTCTGAAGTGATGTAAGCCGCGCTCGTTGTGACTTATTTTGACGGCGCTGAGAACGCCAGACCCTGAGCACACAGCGCTCACATTCTCCGTCTTCATTAGTTTACGGTCTGTTTAACATTTATTAGATAGAACTGTTATACAAAGAAAGTAAACAGTATATTAAAAATTATTAGCGTTTGCCGTGTGGTTGATGCACAATGCCGCTAGCTGAGCAGAAATACATAAAATCGCATTGGATTTTCTCCTTAGCGTTATGGTTGAGAGCTCCATCTATCACTGTTTTCCATGTTCGTGGAGTAAAATGTGTGTACACAGCTTTTTTTAAATAGCGGGTGCTAGTCTTTCGCGTGTGTTCGGCCAATCAGCGTACACTTACATCACTGGTAGTTCCTATTGTGCTGGGTTAGACCCTACTCTGAAGTAGGAGCTAATTTAGTCCCCCCCAAAATGCGTTCCTATAACTAAAATCCTTCCCAGTTCCTGTGGTGCGAACACGCCAAAAAGTGGGTTCTGCCGCCATCAGTTCTAGGAACTATAAAAAGTTTCCTCCAGTGCGAAAGCCCCTTAAGTAGGCTGTTCTTCTGCGTACTCACAGGAGTCTGGATCATCATGGCACGCTGGTCTCTCATGGTCCTCACGAGGTCTAAGGGATACACCGACTGACCATTCTCTATCAAACACATAGCTGTCTCCATGGTGATAAGCACCCCGGTGCGACCAATCCCGGCGCTGAAAGAGAAAGGGGTGGAGTCAATAAACAAATCATGTTGTTTTTTTTTACTTGTAAGAGATTCTGTCAGGACATTTTCCAGGCCTGACCTGCAATGAACCATAACAGGATCTGGAGTGTCGGCTCTTTTGCTGCGTACTTGACTGACAAAGTTCAGGAAGTCCGACGAATCATCTGGCACGCCGTGATCGGGCCACGCCAAGTACTGCATCTGACAAATCTGCCTTTCTTCTTTACTCTGTTCAAACATCCAAACAGACATTAGCACATAGGTTTATTTACATTAATAAATAAGGAACATTTGAATAGATGCGTCACCTCCAGGTGTGTAAGAGTCAGATCTCTGAGCATGTACGCAGAGTTCCCTTCCTCCGACACGCATGTAACCTGGAACCCTCCATAGGCGCCACTTGCGGAAACATTTGGCCAGTATTGATGACATTTCACCTAAAAGGGAAAATGTCCAATATACCATGTTAGATAATCAATAGAAATCAGATTTTTTTTTTTTTTTCAATGTAGTAGATCATTTACCTTCCACGAAGCATTCATGATGGAATTAATAGTTTTATTGTTTTTATAACCAGGGAGAATTTTTGTCGATTTATCTATTAATGAATTACAGAAGTTTCTATCATCTCTTAAAATATTAGTTAAAAAATAACCCATTAACAAAAAACATAACTTTTACCACCTTTGTGTGTGTGAATACCAATTTTAATTTAATTGAATCTTTAAAAAATACATTCATACCCTGCCACGTTCAACTTGTGTCGTCAGCATGACCACAAGGGTGGCGCTCTGTTCCCACACCATCTGCCAAAAGTCAGAGCATGTACCAGGAAGTGGCCCTTGGCAGGCAATATACCGCTTTACTTCACCTTTACTCGGGACTTCCATCTGAAAACACACACATATATACAGATTATCACTCTCGAAGAACAAAACATTACCAAAATAACTTCAAAATAAAAAGATGATCTGAGAAGAACGCTCACATTGATGAAATTTGCATTGATATAATCATCCGTCCCCTTTAATACAACTCGAGTGGTGTCATCTGTGTCACAAAATAAACTGTTATGAACATCCAGCTAATCATGAAAACATTTCTGAGTCCAACACAAACACAAGCTGTGCACTCACATGGAGAAATGTCCCGATACCGGTTTTTGGAGACGTTTTGTGGCAATCTGGCGCATGACATGGACATCCCAGGACGTTTCCTGTACAGTTGCTATAGGAGTAAAACATAATTGCTATCAAACAAATGTTTTTGGATTTTTACCAAAAAAAAAGAAGACAATTTCCGCCTATATTAAGACACTTATGATGAGAAAAATAAAAATAACACTTATTTAACTTGGTCTTGTTTACTGTATGTTATTATGCAACATTAGCATGTTTCATTCCTAACCTATTTATTGTTAATAAACAAGCTAAATTAAGCTTTTGGTTAGTACAAGTTCATGACATAAAAACAGTAAGCTCAGCAAACAGGACATAATCGAGACAGCCGGAAAAGAACAACAGGAAATGATGTGATTAGAATGTGATTCAGCCCACAGCCCAGTGCAGCAGTATATATATATATATATATATATATATATATATATATATATATATATATATATATATATATATATATATATATTATTTAAACTGATATCTATATCCATCTCTATATTAATTACTATATATTTTAATATCCACAGTAGTCAACATTTTGAACAATACCCGTTCTTGTCTTAGGACAACTTTTTTGATCCACTTCAAATGTTGACTACTTTATGTATATGTATATGTATATTTTATATATATATATATAAAATCGAAAAGTGTGTGTCAGCTGACTTACATCAAACTGCGCAAGCACGGTACCGCTGGAAAGACCGTCTTTCAGCAGCTGTATTGAGGACCTCAAACTATCAGCCTCGGAGTGGCTCTGCTCTAAACTGGACGTCTCGGGAATGTACTGGAAATCTGGCTCTAGATCCAACTTCTCCTGCTCCTCGTCCACATCATAGATGGCTAAAGGAAAAGGAAGGAGAGAAAGTGAGTGTATTACAAATTTACATATAATTCTAACTGTTAAAAAAATCTAATTTTGGAGCTCCATTCAGGTGGATCGTACCATTGGGTCTGACGAGAAGGATGAGGTCTCCTGATTGGTCCTCACAGCTGGCCTTAATTAGCATAACCACGTCATCGTGAGTGTGCTCTGAGATATCGCGTCCGTTAATCAGCACGACCTGGTCGCCCTCGTTGAGGCGCGGCATACACATATCAGCCTGAGAGAGGTCAAAGGTCACAGATGAAGGGTTAGGGTGAGGAAAAACAGTGACAAGTCAAGAAATCAACATGCATACAACATTGAATTAATGCTTTTCAAATAACAAACTGAATTCAAAATCGTTTAAACTTCAATATTCCTGTCTGAATGGATGCAGTCGAGAATCAGTCATCATCAGGCTGAGGTGTGTGACTTTAATAGGACACATATATCACCTGACATTAGAAGTAAACAATCTGATCTGAGTGTGACGCATAAACTTACCGGAGTTCCTGGAGCCACACGGGACACTATGATGGGCATCCTCTGGTCAGCGCCACCCTGTGGATGAAGAGGAGAATTATTTAACTAATATATATATATATATATATATATATATATATATATATATATATATATATAATATTAAAAATAAATAAATGAATATATAAAAATACATCAATATTATTTTTTATACACACAACACATAAATTGCAATAAAAAAAAATAAAAAAACATATATATATATATATATATATATATATATATATATATATATATATATAATTACAATTTAATATACAATATATTCATATGAATTAAGGTCTTATAAATTGTAATTAAGATAATACTTTAATTATCTATAAAAAATAAAGTTAATTTTTTAAAATACATATTTTTAATATGTATTTTTTAAAAGAATATTTAAAACAGTAATTACAATTTTGTTAAAAAAATGTTTAAATGGTTAATTAAAATTGTTATTTAAAAATACATACTTGTATAAATGTAACATTTTAAAATAAATGTTTAATTATTTACAGTACTAGTATTTTAATATCTACATTTATATATCTCTATAACACATTTATATGCACACAATGCATCACACTTGATTGCTATACATAAATACATAAAGGTTACTCTCTCTCTCTCTCTCTCTCTCTCTCTCTCTCTCTCTCTCTCTCTCTCTCTCTCTCTCTCTCTCTCTCTCTCTCTCTCTCTCTCTCTCTCTCTCTCTCTCTCTCTCTCTCTCTCTCTCTCTCTCTCTCTCTCTCTCTCTCTCTCTCTCTCTCTCTCTCTCTCTCTCTCTCTCTCCTCTCTCTCTCTCTCTCTCTCTCTCTCTCTCTCTCTCTCTCTCTCTCTCTCTCTCTCTCTCTCTCTCTCTCTCTATAAATAATGCACTATTAAGAATTACTTTCAGTTATTTAATTTTATACTCAATTATTTATTGTATAATGACAATAGTCTTTCTCAAGCCAACATTATTATTGTTATAATTTTTTTTTTATAAATTATAAATGATCATAAATTGAAGCAAGACCTTTGATAGCACACTGACAGCATGTTATCTCATCTGCTATTCATCTAAACATCTATCTGCCAGACAGATAAACAACATCCAAAATATGCTTTTATAATGTACATACATTCAGAATTTGCATTTACAAATTCCGACATTTGATTTGAGCTTATAAACCGTGTAATCAAAAAACGCACCTTAACGTTAAATCCAAATCGTCCGTTTTCATCCGGCCTCATTTTAATCAGAACAAGATTGTCATGAGGCACGGCTCCATTCTGTGGAAACAAAGACAATATGAATCAAACAAACCGGTACGAACAAACACATGTAGTGTGAGTGTGTGTGTGTTAAGACAAGTTTTCCCCACCATGCTCTTTCCCGACGACGCAGGTACGTTGTATAGTTCGCTGAGGTGGTCGTCCAGCTCGTGCTGAGACTGTGATCTGCCGTTGTGGGTCAGAGGGTCTTTTCTGGACTGTTTTGGGGCAGAGCGGGCGGCTGCTCATCGGTCGTGACATCGGGAGACCTGAAAAAAACAAAACAATAATGCAAAGGTGAATGACTGAATACATCACATACTGCATTTGTGGGGGCAGGGCTGGTAACATCAAAGAAATGCATAAATCAAACATTTGACAATATCAAAGTAACTCAAAAAAATCATGTAAGAGTCCATGATTCGTGTGAAAGAGTGTTTGTGTAAGTGTATAGCGCCATCTATTGCATTTTTAGAGAAATAAACAACACATCCCTTCTTATGCCACATTAGTGCCATTTATTTTTCTTTTATTTACATAAGCATTTATATATCACTTTTTTATCTTAGATTTTAGATAGATTTTATCAATGTTATGGCACTTAAGTGAATGTAGGCATCACAACATTATTTAATATTAATAACTATTAAATTTGAAATTTTTCAGTAGTGCACGATTACCAATTTCTAGCAGATTGAATATTTCAGAGCCAATCGTAAACTAGCCAACTTTAATTCACTCCTCTTTCCAAGTCTAAAATTTGACATTTTCCCAATCTCAGTTTTTTTCCATGACCGTCCGTGGGAACCTTGCCTGTAAACCGGGATAAACTGAACTGTAAACCATCCAAGGATCATGGGTAAGATGATCTGATTCCCTCATAATCATTTGCAGACTTTTCATAAAATGCCGTAGCCTAGGCAACAACGATGATTTATGTTCTGTAAGTAAGAAGCAGGAGGCATGAGCAGCGCTGTATATCTGCTGGGTGTTTAGTGAAGATTTCCAACAATTCATCAAAGCTCGCAGTATTTGCATACCAGGCGGAGAGTATTAAGACCCGGGACTGTTGCCTCAGAGAGAAGCCATGTCTGTGTGTGTGTGTGTGTGTGTGTGTGTGTGTGTGTGTCTCATTATGAATGCTCAGATTTCAAGCATGAAAGCCCCTCTGCTCTGCAGTCTACAGACAGCGCTCAGCGCCCCGGCCTCCAGGACATTTACATAATAAAAACAAACGAGGCAAAAAAAAAATGTCACCGTTAAAACGAAGACCAGGATTGTTTCAATTGTCAGGCTGAAGGAGAGACATCCGATTCGCCTTGTGTGTTGTTTAAATGTGGGTTGTGACAGTTGAATGTGTCGAAGTCGTAGAAACGCAACGTGAAACTAAATAGACGAAATGAATCAAGGGTTGGCGCTAGATCGCGTACAGTTTTAGGTCAAGTTTCCTGATCCACTTAACATACAAACTTAGACACTGAATTTGAAGAAAATGTCAACTTTTCAAATGTTAGGGCTGTAACCACTAAATGATTCAATTGATAAACTAAAAATAAAAAGCTATTAGTTGGGTCTTATATTTAGATTTTTCTCGCAAACAATGAGCCCTACAAAACATAAGTAAAACGAATTGTGTAAATGCGATAGTTTGCGCAAAAATGGTTTTACGAATAATTATCTACACTAGAAGGCTGCAATAACTAGGCGATAAACTAAATAAGAAATAATAATGAAAATTGCCGAGAAATTTCACTAGCGATAAACACCAATTGCGCATTAAGAATGCAATAAGTTTGGGCAAACATGTTTTAATTTGAGTAAAAAAAAATATTAACAAAACATTAGAACCGCAAACACTTAGCAACAAAATCAATACATTTATAACGATAAATGTAGCGAAAAGCAAGTAATTTCTTTCAGCCCAAAAAAAAGAGGACAGCAAAAACTAAGCAATAAAGTCAATATCACTTATGTTTTTTTTACTCACTTTGTAAAACCTTGTAACATTTATATTTTAAACTTTTTTTTTCCATAAAATAAACAGTTTTGTTGTACAATTTTGCACATTGTACAAGAACATCATGCTAGAAATACAATTTATCCAATTAATCATTTAATCAAACAAATAAATCAATTAATAAATACTTTTTTTTAAATGGTTGTTAGTAGCACTAACTTTTTAAAAACTCTTCAACTCAAAGAATTTCCAGCTTTTAAAAATATCTAACAAAAATAATCTAGCAATGATGTCAGTCATATTTGCATACTGAATTTTGATTGGTCCTTACTTTCTTCCATTTATTTGCATACTGAATGTTGATTAGGCTATTGAATTTTGAATTGAACTCTTGATTAGTCTTGATCACATTTCACCTAGCAAGTACAGGAATTTTATTTCATATTCTTTCAGGTCAAAAAAAAAAAAAGAAAAAAAAAAGAGATAAGCGCGACTCATCTTTATATAGAACATGAAAAACTCACACAATGAGTCGAAGCTGTACTGGACAGCCTTGATTCGGAAATTCTGACATTGCGAAACGAGATTGGTGTCACGATCTGAGAAAGGAAATGTGTTAAGCGTGGTCAGAGCTCATTCCAATGGAAAATAATGTTGGGTTCACCAGTGTGAACTCAATCGGTCCTGCCACAGTAACACACTGAACTGTGCCCACCACAAAGCTCACAGCAATTTCCACTAGCTCGAAAACCTGCCGTTTCTCAATCTTAAACGTGTGTGAAAATAGTGTCTAACCAACAATGTGTCATTTCGTCAGAGATATGTGGTCACACGATATTAAACCTCAGGTTGCCAGCGAGAGTGTGCGTCTACAGTGCAGTGCTAAAATAAGAACAACATTTCACAGCGGAAACTTTGATGACTCAAAGTGTGTCAGTCCAGCCCTTGTGTGCCGAAAACGCATCATTAAGCAGATCAAAATCTAGAATTGTGTAATCTTTGAATACATATATCAGAATTGTCTGACTGCACAGTATATAACTAAAGGCCGGGGGTAATTAATAAGTGACCAGTTAGAACTTTTACAGGACACGCACAAGCAAACAAATACAATGTGGTTGTCAAACAGAGGCAGCAAGTTTTAGCATCATAACATTTTGCATACGAGCTGTACTGGGGGAAAACATTCAAGTGGCTTATCTTCACAATAGCCTGAAACACACTGCCAAATGCCACGACAAAAAAACCCTCAATATGTCAAGTTGCTAAAAATCATGGTTAAAAAATAATTGAAGACAATTGAGTCATTGAAGAGGATGAAAGTTTGTGATAAACAGATCTTATATAGTGCTGTCAATCGATTAAAAAAAACTAACTAATTATTCACACATTTTTATATAATTAATCGCGACTAACATTAGAGATTTTAACTCATTCCCTGCCATTGACAAGTTAACTCGTCATTTATGAGAAAGCTCTTCCCTGCCAATGATGAGATATTTCCGTGTTATCACTGTTATAAGGTAGGGGGCGCTATTGCACATCTCCTGAACGAGTACAGAATCTCCAGACCAAAACACAGGTAAAGAGGCAGCAGAAACCAGTGATCTCATATGCAAGCAGATGCATATGTAAAATAACGCGATCATCAACAATAAACAGCATTTAAATTAAAATAGCCTAATGTTACAAGAATTAAACAGATTTTTTTGTTTAAAAGCAGAGGCTCTGTTATTTCTTTTGATATATATTGCATTTTTAGATATTTATACAACAAAAAATTCTGGGGGCCATGAAAATGACCAAAATCGCTGCTGTAGGCTGGCAACTTTTTAAATATATTTTTAAATTGTAATCATTTCACACTTAATCTCCAAATTAGGGCTGCACGATTAATCTAAATGAAACCGCACACGATTTGGCGAAGGCTGCGATTATTTTATGTGCAGCTTGTCAGTGAAGCACGGCTCTGTGATCAGTAGTAAATGCTGCTCCATCTGAAAGCAAGAGGGCGCTCTCACGCAGACACAAATATGCCCCGCTTTGCAGCCGCAGAAGTAGACAAAGCACATGTCATTCCAGCAAATCCCTATGGGCTTCATACTATCGCTGTAGCTGAATAAACAGAAGATTAAAACATTTATTAAATGTTGTCTTTTGTTGGACAAGAGGTTCATAAATGCTTCTCATGTTTGGACAGATGTCTGACGCGTGTTGCTTTTTCAAATGCACGTTATAAGCGACTCAAACTCGCAGTTATTTCAGATGGAGCAGTGTTTACTATTGATCACAGAGCCGTGCTTCACTGACAAGCTGCGCATAAAAACATAAATCGCAGCCTTTGAGATTTCATCATCACATGAATCCAAATCGGTTAAGCGCGATTTCCATGTTAATTGCGATTAATCGTGCAGCCCTAATGTAGGCTGTCTTATTTCAACATTACGTGTAAACTATAAATTTGCGTATTAAATTGAATGCAATAGCTTGAGCAAACATGCTTTTCTGAATGATTTACAAAATGTTAGGCCCAATTTTTTTTTTACCAAAAACCATCATAAATTGACGCAAATATCGACTGTTTGTACGCTAAAACTTTTTTACACAAATTGTATAGTGTACATTACATTATCTGCTACCAGTTTTGCACATTGTACAAGAAGAACATGCTTTAAAAAAATCCTGTAGATAAAATATGCCATTTATAGGTGGCATATTTATAGGTGGCATAAATGGCATATAAAATATGCCATTTATAGGTTTTAAAAAAAAAAGTTCGAAACTCACGGTGTTGAGTCCAGGCTGATGCTGTTGGCCTGCGTGGAGGATGCAGACTTGTGATTGGTGAACGTCTGGCATGGCGAGTCATCGATCACGTGATCGACTAGGTGACCGATGGAGGACGGCCTTACCCGCGCGCCCTCTGTGGTAAACACGGAGTTACTGCTGAGGAAAGAAAACAAATGAAAAAACTTAAACTGTGTAAGTGAATGAACCTGCATATGTAGGGACGTTTGTTCTTGTGTGAACTCACTGATCGGGCGAGTCCGGCGGAGAACGGTTCGGCAGACTCTGAGTCTCGAGTCGGTCGTCCGAGAGGGAATTCCTGCTGACGGTCTCCCAGTCCAAACCGCTCATCAGTCTCCTGACCAGAGGCTTGCTTGGTGACCTGGAAACACATCGGATTCACAAAAGATCATTTATAATGCGACAACCTGCTCCATCAACCAGAACCAAAAGGAACATTGTATAATTCAATTTCCAATGTAAAACAAGATCAGAATTGTTTGCTTTTGAAAATATTAGGACCACTACTAATGTGACATCACTTAGCATTTCCGTGAACCAACATGGCACATGTGACATATATGTAACATACATTATATAACTATAGAAGATCATATAAAGATCGTAATTCTAACAGTTATAGTAAGTGAAACAGTACTTTACAAGCAAAAGTTGTTTCCTGTCACCTTTGGTTTTTTATACATTTCACTCTTTAAAAAAGATCTTTGCTAGTGTCAACTTTAGTAACATTGCGAAAAAAAGTAAACGTAAACATACATTTTTACACATTCTGAAGGTTAACAAAAGCTTTAAAAGTACAAAAACAAACTATTTGAATGTGTTTCCTGTTACGATGTTCATTACTCCTGAAAACCATGAACATTTTCGAAAAGAGTGCCTTGTAACATACCTCAAAAGGAGATTTTTCACAATTTTGCGATATTTCACATAATTATGTAAACCAACATTACACATTTTACACATTACAATACATCAGAAAAAGGTTACAAGCAACACCAACACTAGCAAACACTCTTTCCTGTTACGATGTTTGCACACATGCTACTCCTAAAAACTATCAACAAAACTGTTTTTTTTTTACTTTTTCCGAAGAAACATCTGAAAAAGGGATTACACAAAAACTAGTTTACAAACAAAATGTTATTTTCTGTAAACTTAAGTTACTCCTTAAGTAACCATACTAAACAACTACATAGTAGCACTAAACAAACATTAGTTTACAACAAACCCTTTTGCCTAGTTCATACACATGCTACTTCTAAATGCCTTGAGCATTTTCAATCAAAGTGCCCTGAAACTTTTCTCAAAAGTTACTTAGATTTTGTACAATTAAGAAAAAAAAAACGTTCCCACTTTAACTCAACTCTTAACATTTACATAAACCAAGATGGAACATTTGACACATTTTACAATGTTTTTTTCCCCCAACAAAATGTGACAAAAAATACACAAAGCCAACCAGTAGTTAACAAACAACTGCTTTTATGTTACAATGTTCGTACACATGCTTCTTCTAAAAACCACAAATATCTGCTAATCTTTAGATTGAGCCGTTCCTCAAAAGCACGATTATCGCATACAAAAAGAAATACCTCCTATGATGAAACATAAACCGTAGTTTGATTTTCAGCCTCAGCATCTTCGAACAAACGCTGCTCTCGAAAAACAAATGTCTGAGTGTGTTTTCACAAACATGTGCATGACATGCGCACGCCCTTCACAGTCGTGTGCTTCACAGCCCTGCTTAAACTTCCTGTGTTTGGGTGTCATTCTGAGAACATCTGACCACACTTCGACAAACACACACTGACACTTTTAACACCACAGGGATCGAAATGGGTGGGATGCAACACACCCAAACACACACAAATCGGCACATACTATCAAACAGACGTGATGGTTTTAAATTTTCATGTTGTGATAATTGCTGAAGCTTTTATACGGTTTTATCACGGTATTGAAATAAGTTGCAAAAAAGTGTTGTCATACAATAACAGGTTTAATAACTTTTTCTTATAATGAAAAGAACATTTAAATACAATAAAGCAATACACAAAAAATTTATAAATTAACATGTTTCAAACAGATTAAAGTGCAAAAGGATTATAAGGAACAATAGGTAACACTTACAATAAGGTCTCATTAGTTAACGTTAGTTAATGCATTAACAATGAGCAATAGCTACATTTGTTACAGAACTTATTATTCTTTGTTAATGTTAATTAAAGAAATGCAGCTTATTTTTAGTTCGTATTAGCTCAGATCCATTAAATAATAGTTACAACTTTTGATTTGAATAATGTGTTATTAAATGCTGAATTCAACATTAAGATTAATAAATGCTTAGAAGTATTGTTTATTGTCAGTTTTTGTTAACTAATGAATTAACTAATGTTAACTAATATAGCAGTATTGTAATCTTTTACCTATAAATTAAATGTTATATATAATAATTCATAATAAATAATTATTCACGGTTTTCTTAAGTGCCCACGATAACAATATCATGCATGTTCGTTATCATGATATACCGTATATCCGCACGCCTTACTAACAAATATAGCTGATATAAACAAAATCTGCAGTGTCGTGAACCAGGGTTATTAGAATTAACTTGCCAAGGCAACTTTTCTTGATGCTTGACACTAAAAAACTAAAACTTAAATAAAAAGTAATAAAATAATAGACATTTAAAAAAAACTAATACAATTGACAAACAACAAATGACTAAACCTTTAATTAAATTTACAATTAAAACGGAAAATATTCAAATGAAAACTAATTCAAAACTAATAAAACCTAATAGGATATCAATTAAAATAACACTGCCGTTAACAAACAAAGACAATGGTTGGGTATTACTACCGCATAACATTTCCTTTTCAAAAACTCTACTTACATAATGCATATTACTTGCACAGTGTCCCCCCACCCCCTCATTGGTTAATAAAAAAAAGTGTTACCGTGCAAAAACTCTGTTCTTGATGCCTCGTTCCTTTCCGTACTGTACAGATTGCGCCTCTGTCCTACCACTGCAAAAAAGCCAGAACATAGTGTCACTGCCGACTCTTTAAACTCCATTTGTGCAAGAATCAGGAGAGATGGTCGTACAACAGATGACAAAAGGACTTACAGCTGTGACCACAACTAAAATATTTCTAAGGGTAGGCAATATTAAATAAATAAAACATACCATTTTAGCTTTTCAATTAAATTCAGTATGACATTTTGATATTAATGCATTATATATACAAGGAGAAAAGAACAGCAAAATAATTTGACATTGGTTTTCCAGCATGAAATCTTCAGGTGTAACATCTACACTGCAAAAAAATGATATTCTTCCTCAGCATTTTTCTCTTGTTTTCCAGTATAAACATTATTAAACCAAGATACATTAACTTGAGAAGCTATTTGACGTAAGATATTAAGACTTGTTTTCTGAAAGAAATCATCCAAATTAAGTGAGTTTATGCTTGAATAAAAAAAAAAAAAAAAAAAATGGGGTCAGAAAACTAATCTTGTTTTACCTTTGAATTAAATTTATTTTAGACTGATTTTGTTTTTTTAAGCATAAACTCACTTATTTTGGCTGTTTTTTCCCCCCAGAAAAAAAGACTTCATATTTTAAGTTATTTAGATTTTTAAGTAAATCTATCTTGGTTTAAAACATTTTTTGGGGATATTTGTAATGGAAAACTAGACATTTTTATTTTTTATTTTTTGCATAAATGTAATTTTCCAAATGCCATTGCGTGCTCCTATATCCACTACACCCTAATAAACAACCTCTTCTAACATTCTCACCAGTAGCGGAACTTGGATCCGAGGGTGAAGTACTGCAGAAAGAGGTTCCTCTCAGGGGGAACGGGTCGCTCCAGTCTGAAGAACGTGTGATGCTCCACGCAGGCCTTCCATAAGTTCTTACAAGCTCTGTAGTTCATCATGTTGAAACCCAATAACGACTCTCTGCTCTCAGTCTGTGACACAAAGGAAAAAAGATAGAGGAAGACGAGAAAGAAGGTTTGGTGAGCTCACTGTATTTTGCAGATAATCCATTTTAGTATGTAACAATTTCAATAGTTAGTATCAATACCAATAAAGCTTCGCAATTCAATTCCAATTTCACTACTACAGCCAGAGCTGGGTAGTAACTGATCATATAATATGCATTACATAATCAGATTCCAAACATTAAGCACTTGTAATCAGATTATATTACATTTTATAATACTCATAATCAGAATACAGTTATTTGTTTATTGATTACATCATTTCGCTTATATATGTTTGGGAAACCCTGCTGTAATGTAATGGTCAATGCAATGCATGTTGTTGATGCAAAGAATAGAATATCATTTCTATCTATTTGTATTTTTATATCAATATTGTACAAGATTATCCTATTCAAATCAATGTGATTTATGAAGTAGGTCAAAAGTAATCTAAAAGTAATCAAAGTAATCTAAAAGTAGTCTGATTACCTAAAATATGTAATGTAACTGACTGAGAATTTTCATCATGTAATTTGTACAGTAACAGACTACATTTTGTAAGTAATCTAAGGTAAAGACAGATTTCGATTAAATGCAAAACAATACATCTAAACGAATACATACCAGTTCTTTTCTTAGTTGTATAAAAAACTGTTTAGATTTAAAAGATATTTTTACAATTTTCAACCTGAAACACAAGAGAAGGAGAGGGAAGGGAACATAAAAGATGTTTCAAATGAGAACTTGTATCCACAAGCTTTCGAATGTGTTTATTTCAATGAAATTCGCAATTCTAAAGAGATTTACAGCTAAAACGACCCTTACCATGGAAAGTGGTTGACTCGTACCCTGTCTTTATAGACGGAGATGCCGGCAGACAAAACTCCCATGTATATCTCTGCGTTACAGTGGTCCTGAAATCATGAAGAGTGGGAAACCATAAGGATGCAGTTTCCACGGCAACATCAAAACCATTTTGTTTTAAAGAGTGCTTAGACTTTTGGTTTGCTTAAGAAGGGATGCTCAATATATTGGCGACCATTTCGCTATCAGCCAATAATGACAGATGGATAGAATAGTTAGAACGAACAACAGATCAAATGAATGACAGAACAATATATTGACAGAACACATGATGATGCATAGAACAATATATTAGTTATGCAACAATTTCGGCAACCAAAAATTATTAATATTACCAAAATCATTGACTGAAACTGTGATGTTGAACTGTGAATAACTCTAGAGGAGCGTTTTGCTAAAAATATGCACTATATTAAATTTTTCCTTAACATGTTGTCTTAATTATTTAATATTTGAATAAATCTGTCATGGAAACAAGTTATTACAGCCACTGTTTGGATGTTTATATTTCAACAACCAATTAGAGTAAAAAAAAAAAAGAGAAAATTATACCATTACATTTTTTTTCCTGTGTGCAATTTTTCTAATGTTTATATACAAGTTTTACTTTAGTATTGATTAAATAAAATTTGATTGATTAATTGATTAGTAAAAAAAAAGAAAGAAAAAAAATCCATTTTGATTTCCGGCTAAATGAAAACTTTAATTTCGCTTTTTGTTACAGAAAAAAAAACATTTCGGTACAATACTACAATATATAGAACGACCAATAAAACAAACGGATGAGAGAATGAATGACAGACAAACAAATTATAACTTTATATATTAAAATTAGTGGGGAAAATTGCAAAAAAAAACAAGAAAAAAGAAAAAACACAAAACAAGGGTCCATCCCTAGTTTTAAGTGGCACCAGATATCATTCAAGCCTCTAGTGTGTTTGTTTGCAGTACATATGAAACAAGAGGGGTAGCCAGTGGGGTAATTTGGGCCGGTCACTCACCCGAGCATAGTGCAATTCCACGCCGTACAGCTCCAGCGTCCGCGCAGCATTCAAGTAGTTAAACTCGGACTGAGCTGGTGTGAGTCCACTGCGAGAGAGAGAGAGAGAGAAGAGAGACTCAATCTCAGAGATCCACAAACAATGAACCGCCTTGTTCCACAAATCTGCCCGTGTATGTGTGTGTGTGTTCAGCTGTGACCCTTTGTTCCTCCGTCTCCACTGACACTCAGTTAAATATAAGAATCTTTAACACACTGGAGGATTTCATGGACATGTCTTACTTGTGCTCTTGGTGAAGTTTGGCGACCTCTTTCTCAAAGTCCTGCGGAGGGTTGGGAATGAAGCTGTACTCGGAGAGGTACCCAGACAAATGCTCGGAGTGACTGTAGTCCCCCAACTCAGCTGAAACACAAAATAGGCCAAGAAACCATGTGTGTATGTATGTCAATGCGAGGCACAATGTGTCTTTCACCCTTTCATAGAGCCAGGCTTCCAGTTTCCTCATAGAAGCTACAGGAGACCCCCTAAAGTCAACAAGAATCAAAATCGACACCATTTACTTTTAGTACTTTTATCAAAAATTGGCTGATACTGATAAGTTGATCATTTTTATCAAAAATATTTGTGGACAATAACCTAATAAAATTAACAATAATTAATAAAAAACATGTAAAAAAAAAAAATTTGATAATAATTTGAAGCACTGAACAATTTTGAAAAGTATGTATATTTATAGCAACAAACATTTTTGTATAATTTAAAAAAAACAAAGAAATTTGCAAGTACGTTTAATTCAAATTTGAAGCATTAAAGAATGTCTGATGTTCATTTAGCAGTTATTAAATTATTAGTACTATTAATTATTAACGTTAAGTCAGCACTATGAAAAATAGGACAAATCTAAATGAAAAATACCACTAATATCCAATATTGTAAATGCAAAAGAAGAAAAAAAAATCATATTTACCCTGAAATGGAAAGAAAAAAATCTAAATGAATATAAAAACCTATTAAAAACAGAGCAAACGTATGTGATTTCCATACGATAAAAGAATGAAATGGGAAGCTACTAATAAAACACATGAGCTGTGCTGAGTGTAACATGACTGGCTACTAAAACAGATTGTTAATCATGTAATAAATCGGCACATTTTTCAGCTTTATTACTGGAAATGGGTCAGACAAGGACAGGAAAGAGACAAAAGGCAGATCATGAACTATTTGGCAAACCGTACAGCCTTTGTGCATCCTGTGCGGACGGTTATATCACCAGCCAAACAAAACCACAGGTCAGAGAGTCTGCAATCTGTTTCTCAAACTTGCGTAATTAAAATAGATGTTCAAGTAATGATGAATGGCAAGTGATATATACTTCGCACAATAGCAAAATACAGAAACAAAATACACCTCATTACATTAGTTTTTTTATTTGCCAAAATCTCAAAAGGCATTTCAAAATATCTGTCAACATTAAATTTAAAATTAGGTAAATGGCTGCTACCATGCTCTATAGATATCGGCACTGAAAAACCCACTAATTGTTAATGCAGAAATAATCTGTAATGCTTACCCTGAACTGCATAAGAAGCCAAAAGAACTGCAGTGTTTTGTGGGCAAGGAAGCCTAGCAAAGAAACAAATGAAAATTGTTACATGAGATTGGCTTTGGGAGGGAAAATTATACATTTTAGATGTACAACGTGTATCCTTACCTGCCACTCAGAATATCCTGCTTCAGTTGCAAAAAGTACAAATATCTATGATAAAAAAAAAAAAAAAAAAAAAAAAATATCACAAACAAAATCACTGATAAATATGTTATGAGCAACAGAGTGAGAAAATGTGTTATTTTTTTTACGATATAGAGAGATTTAATTAATATGATTTAAGTTTTATTTTTACTTTTCATATGCGTAGGAGTGTAAAAATCTTTTTTTTTTTTTACTGTACCTTGTGTACTCTTCCTGTAATTTACCAGGGTCACTCACGAAAAACTTCACCCTGAACCTCAGATTATGTGGGGATGGCCCTGAAAATGTAAAATAATTACAAAAAGAACATTTTACTCTGATACATCATACAAATAAAAACCTTCGGTAACACTTTACTTGAAGGGGTGTGCATAAGACTAACATGACACCTTCATAATCATGACATGACACATGTTATGAATATGAAGGAGGTTTTATGCATGTTTGTGACAACTGTCATTAAGTGTCATACACTCAATTATGACATTAATGCAAATATGACATTGTTTGAGATGTCTTTGTTATGACACCTTGACATAAACCAATACATCATAACCTGTCAGTTTCTTTGTCATGACAACTTGACATTACTAAGACAACACAACCTGTCATAAACATGACAATTATCAAATTTAAGAAACTACTTAGCTTTGTTGGTTAACATTACATTAAACTGTCAGGTAGTTGGTTTTGACATTGGCTGTCATGAAGCCATTATAACTGTTTAATGACAAATTCAATTTGTACCACTGTAGTTGAGGTCACGAAAAATATTCATGACACAGTTATAATGGACTGATGACAGCCAATGTCAAAACCAACCACATGACAGTTTAACTTAATTTAATGTCAAGTTGTCATGACAAAGACACTGAGGTTATGATGTTATGGTTTATGTCAAGATGTCATAACAAAGACATCTTAAACAATGTCATATTTGCATTCAAAATGTCATTATTGAGCGAAAGACACTTAATGACAGTTGTCATAAACATGCATAAACCCTACTTCATATTCATGACATATGTCATGTCATGGTTATGAAGGTGTCATGTCAGTCTTATGCAAACCCCTATCAAGTAAAGTGTTACCAAACCTTCAAATTTAAAAATGTAAAAAAAAAAAAAACCTACTTTTAAGCTGTTTTCTAACAAATTTGTTTGGGTCCAGCCACCTCTGAAACACACATTCATAAACAATATAAAACAGCGTGTATGAAATGTAGACCCCTTTTTACTCATAGCACAACATTTTCATGACAATCACACAAACTCAGCAATGTGAAAGACACCAAAATTGCTTGTCGATTAAAAAAAAAACTACATCATTAAACGCAATGAATTAAACATTCACCTTGTTTTACTAGGAGCAGAAACAGAGCAGCGTTTTAATGTGTGACCTGAGATTCAACTTTCCTGTTTATGCAGACACGGTGTCTAGAAACCAAAATAACTACTGAACTGCTTCGTATTCGCTATAAATAATAGACTGAAAATGAACAAGGTACATGGGAAAATATTTTTGCATCTTTCATATCATTGATATGCAAAAATATGAATTTTTCAGGTTCAATGCTCTTTTGCGCAACATGATGTGCTGCTTGAATGAACAAGGGTTTATGGGTGATCTACTGCCGATGATGACGGCTGAGTGACAGGCAAGCGCCTACCTGGCTGTCACAAGAGTCGTCTGCTAGTTGAAGGCCGAAGTAGTCTTGCTCAGTTAGCTCCAAGTGTTTATACACTACGTCCAACAAGATCCGCCCCTGATCTTGCTTCTACAAGAGACAAAAAGTATGCATTCATATCAGTTCGGCACTGTAATAAAAAATTAAAGAACCACACTCAAAAACAAACCAAAACCCCAACAAAAACACTAAACTAAACAGAGAAACTAACCAAAAACAAAACAAAAAACAAATCCAAAAACAAAAATCTAACTAAATCACAAAATAAAAACCAAACCACAAAAAAAAAACCTAACCACAAAACCAAATAAAAACACAAATCAAACCAAAAGACAAAATAAAGCAAAACCAAACACCAAACCATGCACAAAACAAAAATCAAAACCAAACAAAAAACAAACACCAAATCAAACAACAAACCAAAACCAAACAAAATCACAAAACAAAATAACAAAACAAAAACACAAAACAAAAACCAAACCAAAATACAACAAACAAAAACACAACAAACACCAAATCAAACACTAAATCAAAACACACACCAAACCAAACAAAAACACAAAACAAAAACCAAACCAAAACACAACAAACCCCAAATCAAACACTAAATCAAAACACACACCAAACCAAACAAAAACACAAAACAAAAACCAAACCAAAATACAACAAACAAAAACACAATAAACACCAAATCAAACACTAAATCAAAACACACACCAAACCAAACAAAACACAAAAAGAAACAAAAACAAAATCTTGGGGAAAAAAAAGCAATGTCTAAGAAATTAAGTAATGTATTTTTTGATAATACAATGACTTCAAAACTTTACATTTTTATTTTGGACCTGTCATGGAAACACCATGTTCATTAGGCACCATGGAAATGCCATGTTTCTGGACAAGCAGTTTTTTTACGGAATTCCCACAAAAATATAGTATTTTCACAATAAAACACTAAATATAGTGCAATAGTTAAATATAGTATAGGTAAAACAGCATATTTTATTACCAATTTATTTTATTACCAAACGAAAACATGAGACATGAAATATTATCCTTTGAATCCAAGGCAGTTTTAATAGACAAACGTTTGCAAGCTAGTTTAACCCTTCAGCCCAGCAGATCTGTGCAGCATGTATGATCATGACAGCCATGGCCTCAGGACACGCTTCTGTCGAACCCAGGAATGTGAAGCATCTGCCCGAAACAGCCCCTCTGAGCTCCACGCGGAAAACCAACCCGAGCCGCCACACCGCATAACTCCAGTCAGCCTCTATTGTACCTCATAGACGGCTGGTCTCCTGTGGTGATTCTTACCGACCTGCCATTTAGCAGACATTTTTCATCCAAACCAATTTATTGCACACTAACGGCAGCGCTGCAGCTCAGGAGTAAAAATGCTGATACAGCCAAACTGAGAGACATCAGTAACTTTGCGGTTTCTGGGTCACCTCTACCTGGGATTGAACTTACAACCTCTAGATAGAAGATCATTATCCACACAACTCTAAAACATGTACTCGCGGTTAGTAAAGGTAACAGTTAACTCAGAAGTAAGAGTCCTGTCTTCCTCATTCATTTTTCCCATAAGGATTTTTAAAAAAAGGCTTCTTTAAAGCATAAGCCATTCAACCAAACCAACCAGCTACGAGGTGCATCATAACATTACAAAATTTGAAGCCAAAAAAATTGAACATTTGACAAAAAGACAAAAGGTACAAGACTGTGTAACAGCTTTAATGAGGGAAAGAGCTAAAATACCATGAAGCATTGCGCATGACAATGAAAATGGAAAAATATAAAAGTTAAGTTGTTGATTATATCTATATAAACAACACTTCATTTACTGTAAAATATGTACAAATATTTAAGTATTTTTTCTTGATTATGTCTTTTGTTGTGCTTCATGGGAGAGGATGTTCACTGCAAGTAGACTTTGCCATACAGGAATAAAGATTTAAGAATTAATGGACGGCTTCCACAAAAGCATATACAATCGATTAACAACATCGGAACTCAGGTCTGTCTTTAAAGGTTTAGAAAATATTGTAAAAAACTAAATTCCCTCTGGAGAAAATGAATGGAGTTTTTTACATTTATTGTAATCTTGGTAATTTTAGGATTGAAGTACTGTTAAATTAATCTTGATTTTTGTTGTTGTTCATTTTCTGAAGTAAATGCGAGTGGTGTTGGCCTGCTGCCAAGATCCTTGAGTGTTCTGAGTGGTTGCCAGGGCGTTGTTATGCAGCTGCTATGGTGTTCTGATTGGTTTTTACGGTCTTGCTGGAGGATTCTGATTGGTTGCTACTGCTAGTTGGTTTCTTATTGGCCCAAGTCCAGGGATTTTTTGCATGTTTTGTTATCCACCAAATGAAAATCTAAACTGATCTCTTACAAAAGAAAAAAACATGCTCGATCCAAATGATTTTCAAGTATGGAGCACAAAGGATACTGAAGTTTAATATTAAATCAAAATTTGGCGTATTTTAGGAAAACAACTAGTCCTCCTGAGGGTTGATTTAGTAGCTTAGGTTAAACGTGTGTACTCACATTGACACTGAAGGTCTGTACTGTGTTGTCCAGCAGTAAAACGTTACACACCACCTGCGCTTGCTGTCTCTCTCTGGCCTCCTCCAACGCTCCCACATCGTAAGTACTGCCAGCAGGCAACCGGAAGCGTGCGGTCATTACGGTCCCCACTCCGTCTGCAAAACACACAAGGCTAAAGGTCACCAACAACGTCAGCTGACCCGCATTCACCACTGTACACGTTATTAAGCGGTGTAAAAAAACACACCAGTGCATGTGATCCTACGGCAAACATGATTCACAAACATTCATCTGTACTCCACCTAAAAAGTTCCAGTAAACGGCTATAAAGCGAGCAGTTTTGTAGATTTTAGCTTTCAGGTTCTACTAGTAGAAACGAGATAGCAAAAATCAAAACACGACGACAGTTAGACAATGGTTTGTCAATTGAAGAAACTCGTAAAGGAAGTGCAGGTCAGGGTTGTTGTGAAGACAAGTCATCATATACAACTCATGAAAGGAAATTGCCAAATATATTTCCTTTTTTTCCTGTGAGCTAACCTCATTCAGCTTCTGAAACTGCTGATATTCATAACATTAAACTGTTTCATTCAAGGTTTCAGTGATACTAAACACTCTTCTTTAAGCTAACAAGGTCAATTCTGACCAGATTCCTCAAGACTATCAGCCAACTGAAGAGGTTCTCTTTGAAATAGCTCCGTCTTTTCAAATATAAATAGGTTTTCAAAAGAGACACAAATAATACAGAAGAATTTCTACAAGAGCAAAAAAATGATTCTTCTTCCTTTGAACACCTAGCAAAAAGAGACATAACATTTTACAGCCACAGTTTCTCAAACCTAACCACGTTTCTGATTGGCAATGATGTCATCAATTATAACGAGAACACAGTGAAAAATGCACATTAATGCAGATATTAAAACAATGTGTTGACGAAAATATGACAAGAAAAAAACAATACCGCAAAAAATGAACTATGCTAACAATGCTTTCAACGCTAACAATGAACAGTGATAAACTAATGCACACTGATAGTGGGTTAATTAACTCCAACACACACCTTATACATGTATAATCAATCAGATTTATACACAATCAACATATTAAAATTAGCTTGTGTACAAAATGTCGCAAACGAACATTTGAAGATTAAGTTAAGCTAGTCAGAATGTGCAAGTCTTGTTGAGAAAGCACTCCTTCCGTAACAATGCACTAAAACACGGACAATAAATAATTAAAGAGATAAAGTTTTTTGCAAAATTGCAAATTGCTTGAAATTAAATGTTGATGCATGTTTATATATAATGTTTGAACATTTGGATTATATAGAACTTCCTCGTCAACTAAAATGTTGTTTTTGCCAACTAAAATGAGAGTACAATTTACTAGCGATGGACCGAATTTTCGGCAACTCAATATTTGGCCGAAACAGCAAACATTTTTTTGTAGGTTTTTCAAATTCAATGTTAAAATTTGTGACGTTTAACATGAGCATTTTGACTGTGTCAGCGTCTATTTGGGGAAACAAAACACAGATTAACTAAAACAAGTAAATAATATCACCAGTGTGGATGCACACACAAAAATAATTCTAGAGAAGCAATATGTGACTTTTCTTTTTTTCTGCTGAAATATCAAGAGGCAGCTTGTTGTGAAAGAACTTCATAAAGAGTTCAATTACCCAATAACCCAATGGTTTTCAACTAAACGAAAATGAAAATTTGGGTTTCGGTGCTTTGGTAAAAAATTTGTTTCAATGCATTACTAAAGTTTACTCAAATAAATGAATATGACATGATGAAATAACAACTACATTTTAATAATTATTGTTTAGCTCTAGACAGCCCACTCTGGACTCTTTAGAGCAAGACATCTAGAACCAAATACTCTAGACTTGGTGGGCGTAGAATCAAAGACTTCACAGTGAGTTTCCTAGAGCTAAAATCTCTAACTCTAGAGAGTTTGTAACCAACTATTGCGTCTCTGCCTCCACACCACCCAATCTAGTCTTTCCCCCGGTTTCACAAGGCTTAAGCCTAGTTCCAGACTAAAATGCCTGTTTGAGCTGTTTTAACTGAAAGCAACTTGCACTGGCATATCTTAAAATATGTCAGTGTCATTGTTTTGTCTCAAGATGGACACCAGTAATCCTAACTAAGGCCTAGTCGTGGCTATCACAGGGTAAAGCACGATACGATACACGGCTCACCGATAATATCAGGAATACAGCAATTCTGCGATAATCGATATATTGCTAGACAATCCTATAATGATACATCACAATATCTGTCTAACTATTAAAACAAAATGGCCGTGAAAAGCTTAAGTGAAGGTTTTCTCTCTTTATTATAAACCGTTAGAAAACATCACAAAAAGTTAACATTTTAAGTAAATAAAACATTTTATGCTTATACTTTTTAAAAGCTTAAACCTTTCTTTGTAAACTGACACATTTAAATGGTAAATGGTAAATGGACTGCATTTATATAGCGCTTTCACAGACCCAATGGCCACCAAAGCGCTTTACAATTTGCCTCACATTCACCCATTCACTCACTCACTCATACACCGACGGGCGATTTAACTGCTTATCGATTTGTTTCATCTAAACCTCGTACATTTCAAAATTGAACAACCTCTTTTATTTAAACCTGGGAACATCTCGGTGTTTATCAGCTTCCCATTATTCAAGAACCGCTATAAAGCCAAAGCAATCTCTGTTACCTTAAATTATATGTTTATCTCTGTAAAGCTGCTTTGAAACAATTCATTGTTAAAAGCGCTATATAAATGAAGATGACTTGACTTGACTTAAAGGGGTGGCTGATTATGATTTCACTTTTTTTTTTAACTTTAGTTAGTGTGTAAGGTTGCTTTTTGAGCATAAACATCTGCAAAGTTACGACGCTCAAAGTACAAAGGATGATATTTTCTTTTACAGTAATCACTTTTTAAGGACTACAACAGCTTCCTCCCGGGTTAATGACATCACTAACCCTAAAATGTACATAAACCCAACCCCCGGAAACACTATATATAAATTATCAAGACAGAATATGCTAATCAATGACTAGAAGATAACTACACATAAGCAACAAAAATTCATCAACTAACCATTCAGAAATGTCCTGTTATATTCTACATGTCACTTCTTGAGTCTCTCCATCTTTGTCCGACTCTGGTTTGAACATAAAAGGCTAAAAGTTTGTTAAAATTTCAGTGTGTGTCTGTGTGAGGTAATTGAGCTGCTGCTAACACCAGAGCTCTTGAAACTCCGCCCTCTTTGCTGGGAGCAGCAGCTCATTTGCATTTAAAGGGACAGACACAAAACCAGATCATTTTTGCTCACTCTCAAAAAGTGACAATTTAAACATGCTATATAAAAATATTTGTGGGGTATTTTGAGCTAAAACTTCACATACACACTCTGGGGACATCAGAGACTTATTTTACATTTTGTGAATAGGGCATTATACCACCCCATAAAATAAACCTTGGAATAGTGTTGTCAAAGGTCCCGACTTGGGTATTTAAATTTTTTTTATGTGACGATATACCAGCATTTCCCCCTAGCATTTTAAGCGCTGTTGTCTGGGATTGGCTACAATGATCAACGCTTCCAAAACATATAGTAAATTGTACATCTTTGACGCTCTTTATCTGCTGAGAGACGCCTGCTTTCAAACTCTCCCGTGTGTATCTGTGGAAGAGCTCTGTGAAGAGCGTCAAAGATGTCGATTTACAACATGTTTGTTCCATCAATGGTATAAAAGCCGAAGTGCGTTCAGACTTTGGACTTAAAACTCTTTTTCTTAGGCTAGTTAACTTATGTTCAGGTTACCCTCATTCGTGTGTTGAGCGCCACCTCGAGGAGCCATGAAGTAGCGACACTGGGAGCAGGGAAAAGAGCGCCTTATTTTATTAATTAAAATATCGATATTTGGTGCCAGCGCATCGATTCTCGTATCGCACGGAGAAGGACAACGATATATTGAGGAATATCATTTGGAAATTAATTTCCAAAGAACACCCCATTGACTTCCATAATAAGAACAAAAAACAAAACAAAAACAGAAATGTTTCTAAATATCTTCTTTTGTGTTTCACATAAGAAGAAGGTCATATAGGTTTGGAACGACATGAGGGTGAATTAATGATAATCTGAAAGGTTTTTACAAACAAATAAGAAAAAATAATTTCTTTCTTTAAAATCCACCCCAAGCATTGTCTTCTCCTGAAGCCCTTTGAAATGGCATTTGTATCACTTATCATTCACACAGTCGCCTAAAGTTTATTTTTACTTTTTTTTTTTGTGGTTTCTAAAAATGGACGCAACTAAGTTTCTTTACACATGTCCGCGGTGTACGAAACAAGCTCCCATAACACTAAAAGGCAGCTGCGTAAACAACAGGGGGGTCAGAGTTCATGACCTGTAGGAGCAAACATGTGACCTTTCAGCACGGTCACAGCCGCCTATTCAAACTCACACACCCAACTTACTCCAGTTATTAATCTATGACACAACCTACATGGAAAGGAACTGGCAGACAAAATCAATAACAAATGCATTTGAGCATTCCTTTGACATCCGGTCGACTACATTTACATTGCACCTTTAAAAGAAAGACTTTTGAAACAAAAGCATCACTGTTTCTTAAAATCTCACACTTACTGTTAAGATGACATTGTTGAAATATGAAAAGATTTGAAGTAGAAGAACCGCAAAGATTTTTAATCGTGAGATCTCAAAAACACAAAATCACTCCTTAAAAATAACGGTTGTCTGATACTTGCATCAGCAACCTTATTTGTCTTGCGTGTCAATGCAGAAAGGACAATCTCTTTGTATAACTTGCTAAACTGTGATGTGTGTGAGAGCATGTGTGTGGCGGAACATTTGTCTTCTGTAGAAGTTTCCCCGGATGTCATCGAATACCACAAACACCGAAACACTTCGAATTTTCCACTGAGTGGGGATCAAACCACCGACACCTCAGTAGATCTCAGACAGTGGGGTTACAAAATGAGTTTATCCCCCACCCCAAAAAAACCTCTCTCGGTCAGCCCCCCTAAGCCACCTTCCACCCAATATTTCCACCTTTCTCTCTTATGTTATCATAACCTATAACTAATGCATCATAAGCTACAGAGTGTTCTGTGAACATCAAGGGAAAATACAATGCTGAATGCCAAAAATAATATAAAAAAATAATAAAGGCAACAATTGTGTAGAGTTAAGATTGCTGAACAAATTAGAATTATAATATACAAAAAAAAAAATATTTACATATCTTTTGTTGTTGATGTCATTGTCAACTAGGGCTGTCCCCTAATAGTCAACTAAACGTTAATCGAAGAGAAGAGGCTTAGTCGACCAAAATTTTATTTCATCAATAGGTCGCAGAAAAAAAAAGCAAAGTCACGAGGGACAGATAAATACAGTATGACGGGCAGGAAAACCAAACGCTCGGTTATCCATCGTCCTTAAATATGGCTTATTATCATTTGAAACATGTTGTAGAAACTTTACAAAACTCTAATGTTAACCTAGATAATTGTTAATAAATGCGCTATTATTAGGCGCATATCCAAGTGTTTGTGCGGATTGTGGAAGCTAAAGTATTAGCCGGCGCGATCACTTGCATTTGATAGCAGCGGAAATCAACTTGAAATATTATAAGTCGTTTTTGCTCATATAGATAATAGAGTGATGCATCATTCAAAACTGTAAAGGGTGTACTTTGTTTTTGTAAACTCACAATAAAACGTTGTGCTTTTGTAAAATAAAGAAAACAAACATGATGCGCTTTCTGCCGTCTCTGTCTCCGTTAACTGGAGAGCGCGTCACAAAAATGAACCGAAACTCAGGGTATAATGACTACTTGCCTCACAGACATGAGAAATATAGAAAGCTTGAAATGTCTACTTTCAAACGAACCAAAATAAATACTCTAACCAGTTAGAAATCTGTATACTCTTTAAATGTGCGTCCACTATATAGTGGAGATGGTGTGTCAGATGGTGTGTCAATTTCATCTTTGCAGCCTGAGCCAACACTGACTCAAATCACTAGTTTATTAATAAAAAACTAATAAAATGGCTCTTTACTTTTTATTTCCGACACATTCATTATCTTTATTTTCGCTGGTGCTTTGCGGCAAGCTTTATGCGTGCACTTGAGCGTAGAATGGCTATATATTCTGCCCCATAGCATGCGTTTAAATAATTAAATTAATATAAACGTGCCAATAGTCGTCTAATGGTGTAAATGAACGACTACTAGTTAACTAAAAAAAAAAATCTTTAGTCAGGGGAAGCCATATTGTCAACCGTCATGTCAAATCAAACTTTATGGTATTTTACAGCAAATTTTCTTGTAATTTGGCCCATAATAATACAGTATTTAGCCCACTATTTGTTCCATGTGTTTTTGTTCTGTTGTCAATAATGCACTTTCAAAATTGTGAATATTCCAATTCCGTCAAATTTCGCGTATATTTTGGACCTATGGAGTTTATGGTATTTTCAACACACCTCAATGCTCAATTTTAAGTATATTTTACAAGTAATTATACAAGTAAGCTTAGTGGTTCTCAATTGGTTTTGCTTCAGGACCCAGATACTACATTCAACAGGGAAAATTGCATACATTGTTAAAATTTACAAGAGTAATATTTTACAAATCGCATGCACACCTAGAATTTTGCCTGTAAACATGTGTTGTCAAGTGGTAGCCAAAAACAGTATCTTACAAGACACTGTTGGACCTATCAAGCAACATTTTACAAGTAAAAAATATGTGCATATATTCTCAAAAAAAAAAAAGTGTATTTTTTAAATTTCACAAGCAATTTTTTTCTTCCAATTACATACACACTTAAAATGTTGTGTGTAAACAGCCAAAGGCAAAGATCTTTAAAGTGGCAGCACAAAACATTTCCATACAAGACACTGTTGGACCTGACAAGAAAAACTGTACCAGTAAAATTTCACGCTTATTTCAAATTTTACTAAAAAAAAATTTGTATACATTTTTTTTTAAATGTATACCTAAAACTTTGCTTGTGAACATCCAATGCAAAAACCAGTTGAGAACCACTGAGCAAGATGCTAACAGACCAACAGGATGTCATTCATGCTTTCATTCATGTGTCACCTATTACACCTGAACCAAAGCCAGCTTTACAGGACCATCCAACCCTACTGCAATAAAAACCGTTCAACTGAATAGTTGCATGACACGTCAATTTTCGCATGTAAAAGGGCTTTTCATCCAAACAAGCACATTATCAGAAGAAAACCACACATACAGATCTTGCATTACAGTCTGTTGAAGAATGCGCGCGCACACACACACACACACACACCAGGGGGACAGAACAGTAGATGATGTCACCGACTCAACCAGGGGAGATGCGTAGTGCCCCGAAAACAATTAAAACAAACCTTATTGCACCAATATAAGGTCCCCTCTAGATCCAACTGTATGCAAGCAGATTATTTGCATGCAAAGGATGAGAGCCGGGGTTATGTAATGATGTGGCAGAGAAAATAAGGCACAATGGGAGCAGCTGAGATGTACAGATGTGACATAAACCTTAAATGAACACAAAAGCTCAAATACATCTCACATGACAGCTGAAGGATCTCGAAAAGAGGCCATTGAGAGGGTTGCCAGGTATAAAGAACAGAACGAAATACACTATGCATTCAATCCATGTTGCCTGGCTTGCACACACACACACACACACTGCATGCATTTGGGCATCGTATGGATGGATTATCTTGACATGCAGCAGAAATTAAACCCGGGACGTTACATAAAGGCATTTGCATGGCGTCCGAAGCAACCTGTCCCTAAAACCAGCGTGCAAGGTGAATGCACGCTTTATGCCTCTGCCTGTGCACCATTTCAGGGATCTTCTGGAAGCTTGCATTGGTTGGATTGGTTGCTATGCAATGGGATAAAAAAGGAAGACAGGACATGCATGCATGCATGAATGGTGACACCAATACAGAAATACAACCTTGCTTACCTTCATATACAGGTTTAGGAGAGTCCAGTGAATTGAAGATGATCTTGACTTATGATGAAAGGAGAATAGGAGGGGGGGAGAGGATAAAACGGCAGCTCATCTGCAGGAAAATAACCACATTGCTGTAGATGTTCACATTACATTCAATTCAAGGGGCCTCTGGCACTGTAAGAAATAATCATTCCAAAATGGGGACGCGATCCTGGGTTCTTCTGGGCGCGGTGCATTAAATAAAAGCCTCAAACGCAATTGCAATCTTTTCTGTGGCTGCTGGCCGGGTTTAGCTCTATAATCCTGCATATGTCTCTGTATTGCCGCTACTGGCTGCTGCGGCTGCAACGTGCAGCGTTAACATGGCGCAACCGCACACGCCCCGCCTACATTCTCATAGGTCTGACGTGAGGGCGTGGCCAAGACGCGGGGCGGGGCCTAGAATGCAAAGGTTCACTTCTCAGACGGACATAAGTTGGGAATCATTTGTGTACATTTAAATGCTTAAATGCGCAATTTAGTTGTAACATGAAAATGTGTGATGGAATATCATAGGACGTAGAGCAAATATTTTACAAACTAGCCCCTACAATACATAATTAAAGGGATAGTTCAACCCCCAAAAAAAACAAAAACATTTTGTCATTACTTACCCTCAAGTTGTTCCAAATCCTTCTTCTGTTCAACACAAAAGAAGATATTTTGAAGAATGTAGGTAACCAGTCACCAGCCATTGACTTCCGGTTTTTTCCCCTACTATGGAAGTCAGTGGCTACCGTCAACTGTCTACCAACATTCTTCAAAATATCTTCTTTTGTGTTCAACAGATGAAAGAAACTCATACAGGGTTGGAACAACTTGGTGGTGAGTAAATGATGAAAGAATTTTCATTTTTGGGTGAACTATCCCTTTAACATCACCATCCTCTCGTCTAAGCTTGTGTGTGTTTGTAGCGCCATCTCCTGGAGAGGATGTATTTATGTCTCATTCCCAAGGTGTGACCTGAATCTGCACTTTTAACATAATTACACCCCATTAACACTTTATTGAAGGCAACAACTCTAGATCGAACTCTGTCATTCTAAAATGGAAGGTTCAGGCTCCGATGATCTTTTAAAGCAGGTTTAGATGACGATTAGGGTTCAAGAGAAAGCCTGTCTGTTACTAGGCAACCATTATGAAGTCACAGAGCGATTTTAGAACACATCACTGCTACAGATCTGTTTCCAGCATATTCTCCTGTAGTAAATTACATAATTTGTTTGTGTACAAATGAGCCGGAAAACTAAAATGTCTCTTATCTTCAACTCAAAGAGCGTGGGCGGGGGAATTAACAGTTGAATCATAGCATCAGCTCGACAGTTTGAAATGAATGAATTTTGTTGGATAGACTATAAAGCCATGTCAGATTTGAAATTTGGTGTTAAAACCTTAAAATATAAATGAAAGATACAAGAAGTAGGGGCCTTTTTTACATGGCGCCATTTTTTGGACATGTAACAAAAGTGCCTTGTGTATCTGACTTTGAAAGGGCCTTCAGACGTCTCACTTTTTTCAGTGACATTAAATCTGATATTATTCTGTATGATATTTAGAAGGAAAAAATGTGGTTTGATTGACTGGGATTGGATTAGATTGTGAAAAGTAGAAGATATTTTAGGATATGATATTATTGGTTAATATTGTTTTCTCAACCCACAAGGCCTTGATGACATCAGCAGAAATGAAAAGTTGTTTTAGAGGCGGAGAAAGTTGTTACGTTTTTTTTAAAAGACTGTAAATGCAGATAAAAGAGTAGCCTAGATAAGATTATATTGTTTTTCACTATTTTTTTAATTATATTTTTAATATTTTATTACTATTATAATTATCGATAAATCTATTTTGGTTTTGAATTAAAAAAATATATACTTCATTTATTGAATGTAAAATAGTTGTTATTATTATTAATACTATTTCAATAGCAATAATATACATATTTTTTTATTTTATTTATTCAATTAAAATTTTAAGTGGCATCCGTCAAATACAGTAGCCTATATAAAACTTGTGTAAAACTTGCTCCCTTCCCTCTTTTAAGATAATATACAGTAAATTAATTATTTAATCTGTATTTTTGCTATATATTTCATTTGTTTGTCTGATATAACGAGTAAAACAAATCTATAAGGTAAAAAATAAAAAGTATTGAAATAAGGAATGCGAGTGCTTCCAAACTGAGCTCTGACAGCGGAACGTACCAACGCCGAGAGGAAGAGGGGTGACCAACTAGCTATTTTCCAGATTTATCCTTGATATATCTATCTAAAATTCAAATGATCCATTTTTTAGTAAATAGCGTTTTACAAAATAAGCAGTATCACAAATATGTACCGTCGAGTATTTAAAATAAGTTTGATATTTCTCACAGAGCTGCCCGGTTTCCCCCTGCCAGAGCTGTAAATCAGTGTGAACTAACTGTGAGCGCTCTCGAGGTGTGAGGAACTGAAAACGGCTCTTCGCGCGGCCCGATAAAAAGCCACTGCATCCAGTTGTATAACAAATAGACAAACGTTTCCGCGTGAGTATTTACTCGGTAATGTCGGCAGCAACATCTGTGGAAACGGATCGGGCTATTGGCATATGCTGTCATCTTGTGATAAGGTAATCATTTTCAATGCATGCATGCTGATTGCATCTATCAACAGGACGAAGGAATCAAATCTAGGTCTCTATATATTAAACGGGCGTTTTAAGATGATACCTAATTGTTTCTATATAGATATCCATGTTTTACCAGTTGAATCATGCATGTATGCATTATGCATGAACATGTTAAGTGATCAAATTGGTGAATTGCAACATTGACCGCTGCACACACACACACACACACATCTTAAAATGCAGGAGACTGCATGATTTCCTTTTTGCCAGGAAGATGCTTTCATTGCAGGGTAGTTTCATATAATGGATATCATAGATATGCACATACCTAAGATGAAGCCTAATGGGTAATGCATTAGGCAACCCAGACAAGAATGATCAAGGTGGGAGTATTGATACATGCATAGCTCAGAGTGCTGAAGCCATGCACAGATATGACAATATATCACACATCATGCACAAATATACAATCTAGTTTTAGTTGAAAAGAGACAGTACAGTTGTATGATTGAAAGTAGGCACAGTATGTGACATGGTTGTTTTTAGTAGTGATTAACGGAAGGCCGATTAATCGACCGATTTTTTTTTAGCGACGCCTAGCGTCTATTTAGAAAATATTGCGAATTGCGCACGTTTTCAGTTATTTTTAGTGAAAAATTATTGTGCAAATTATTTACTCAAATATTTTTAAATTGAATAAAAATAGTGGCTAATATATTATAATTTAAATGTTTATCTTTTAAGTAAATATTTTTTAAGTATAAAAATTGTAAATTTGCCATTGTAAAATTGTAAATTTGCCATTGTAAAATTGTAATATTTATATCGGCTTCGTTAAACCACTTTTTCGCAACACGAATGGACTGTTTGTCGTATATGCATCGTCGTTAGACTGTGGTATTTGAAATTACAGACTACATTATCTAGTACGGAACCTCGCACATGACATGCAGACAAAAAATATCAAATTAGATTTAGTTAAATTTAGTAAGAATTCGTTCCTACGATTTGTTCACTTGTTCCCTCGATTTAGTAAATCCTGGCCATGTTGTACTAATTCGTTCCATGGTTTTAACTAAAACAAGGGAACAAATTATTATATTGTGCGCACGATTTAATAAAAAGAGGGAACGAATTATATTTCTGCGCACGATTTAGTAAAATAAGGGAACAAATTATTATATCGTGCGCATGATTTACTAAAACGATGAACAAATATTACATGGTGCACACGATTCACTTAAAAACGAGGGAACAAATTAGTAAAACGTGCTGACATATTAGCAAGTTCTGGAACGAATTCTTAATTTGTAGCCGCGATACACATAATTTCACCGCATATCATGTGTGGGGGTTCGTAATACAGAATGTGATTCACAAATGCTTTAGATCCAGGTGGTTTCACCATCCTTAAGAAGCGGAGTCATATCCCAGATGATTTCAGAAAGGAAATCCTGAACTTCCCTCTATTGTGGTTAACAGGAAGAGTAACTGGAAGAGATGTGTAATACTGACATCTGACATCAGGGGTAAAGATCCAGCAGTTTGAGGTGTTTAATTCTGAAATGAGAGGTTGTGTTTGTGTTTTTGAGGTTGTTCCCTGTGTTTCAGAAGCTTTGACGTTGGTTTGTACAGTTTGAGCTCACTGGTGGTCAATCTGTCAGGGGCTTTCTTGTTGTTGGCAGTTTTGAGCTGAGATCACACTGCAAAATCACAGCGTGGCAATCCAAGTGTCTCGTCTAGACCGCATTTCCTGTGTGTGTGTGATGATCTGGTTGGATGTCTGGGAAAAGCCTTCTTCTTTATGCCAATATAGAGTCCATTAGTGGCATTTCAGACATTAAAAGTCTGAATCGCTGTTTCTTTTCTCTTAAAGAAACAGCACACCCAAAAAAAATTAAAGTTCGATCAGCATTTGTTCACCCTCATGTCGTACTTAAACTCACTTTATTTCTTTCGTAAAACACTGAGATGTTTTGAAGAATGTTCTGGTTGTTTGAGTCAGATTTAAAAAATAAATAAAATTTAAACGAATCGGTGTACGAAGCCTTCGTTCATGAATCATACCTTTCAAGTTCTTGATATTATTCTTTATGAACCACCAGAATATTTAGAAGAAAAAAAATGTGGTTTGATTTACTGGGATTGGATTAGATTGTGAAAAGTAGAAGATATTTTAGGATATGGTATTATTGGTTAATATTGTTTTCCCAACCCACAAGGCCTTGATGACATCAGCAGAAGTGAAAAGTTGTTTCAGATGCGGAGAAAGTTGTTACATTTTGATAAAAGATTGTAAATGCAGATAAAGGAGTAGATAAAATAATATGGTTTTACATTATTTTTATATTATATTTTTGCATTATTATTATTATTACAGTTTATTATTATCATTATCAATCGATCCATTTGTGATCATTTAACTTTTTATTTTTTATAGTTATTTTATAGTTTTGATTTATACAATAGTGATTGCTGTTAAAAATATTTTAATCATATATATTTTTTTTATTACTTTTTTATCTATAAAAATGTTGTCAGATAACAAAGAAACTCTGTAAAGGCACTAGTGCAAAGACAATTTATCATACTGAATCTATCATTTCAGCTAATTAAATAATACAGATTAACGTCTTATCAACTGTATATACATAATATGCATCATTTGTATGCTTGCCTGGCAAATCGACAGCAGCATCTCTCATCTGACACCATTTTCTCTCTATTGCAGGTGTAGCTGTCTCCATGGCGACCAGCGTGGTTCCCGGGGACAACCTGCCCACATATAAGCTGGTTGTGGTGGGAGACGGAGGCGTGGGGAAAAGCGCCCTCACCATACAGTTCTTCCAGAAGATCTTCGTCCCTGACTACGACCCCACCATCGAGGACTCGTACCTCAAACACACCGAGATTGATGGACAATGGGCCATTTTGGACGGTGAGCAGTTCAATACCATGCCAATAGAGGGCAGTGCAGCTCAAGCTAAAACATATCAGAGTTTATTTTATGCACAAGAAGAAATCATGAAGCAGTCATTTCTGACTATTAAATATTTCTATGAGCACAAAACATTAATCACAAAATGAAGAGTTAGAGTTAAAAGAGTTTAAACAATTAAAGAAATCTTTAAGATATTTGGAAATTATCAAATATTTAGAGTCAAAAGTTGCAAGGAAAGAAACGAAAGAAGAAATAAAATATTATGTTATATACCACAACTGCATTATATTCAGAGTTATTTTGGTATTATTTATGTACTATTAGAGTATTAGCTTTTATTTTTATATATTACAATTTTCATTATAGATTAAGTTTTAGTAATTTGTTATGTCCTTTTGTCAGTTTTATTAATTCAACTTTTTTAAAGTGCAAATACAGTTATTCCAGTTATTTGATATATTTTCTATTACATTTTTCATTTAATGTTTATATTTTATTTCAGTGTTATTTCTATTTTAGTCGTTTTAATTTTAGTTAACAATAAACACAATGATTATATTATGAATAAATAATTAAATGTCCCATGTGTAATACGAAGAGATGTCATAAATTAAGATATATATTTAAAAGTCTTTTTTACACTTATGCATTTAGCAGATGTTTTTATCCAAAGCAACTTGCAAAATGGGAAAAATATTCTTACAAAAGAGGAGCTTTTGCCTTTTAAAATATTAAATAATTATTTCATTATAAATTATCAATATAACAATGACAGTGAAAAGTTTAATTATATATATATATATATTTTTTTTTATATATATTATATAAATTATATTTATTGAATATGTTATAAGAATTATTTAATTGTAAAATACTTTCTTCTTTCATTATGAATGATCAATATAACAATATAATATTTGTAATATCAAATATTAAAAATAAAATAGTAAATAAAAATACTTAAACTAAAATAACCAAAGCAAACAACATGCTTTTATTACAATAACTCAACATATATGTCTCTGATTGGCCATTGTGTTCACGCGGTCAACATAGATGTCTGTGATTGGCCATTGTGTCCACGCAATCAACATAAATGTCTGTGATTGGCTACAATGATCAACGCTTCAAAAACATGTTGTCTTTGACACTCTTTATCGAGCGCTTACACAGATACACACTGGAGCATTTTAAAGCAGGAGTCTATCAGCGGATATATTAGGGATGCTTTTAAGCGCTCCCGTGTGTATCTGTGTAAGGCTTAAGCGCTCGGGGAAAAACGTCAAAGATGTCATTGTTGATCATTGTAGCCAATCAGAGACATATATGTTAAGCGCGTGAACACAATGGCCAATCAGAGACAGTATATGCTGAGCGCGTCAACACAATAGCCAATCAGAGACATATTTGTTGAGCGCGTCAACACAATGGCCAATCAGAGGTGTTGATGCTAATTTGCAATTCATAGAACCGCATATACTAAATGAGGCAAGGGTGTAGAGTTATATTCCATAAAAAAATGTTCAAGGAAAAAACATTTAAATATGTAATTTTGGTGATCAAAGATGAGTTTTAAGAGATAAAATTATTGACTACAGGGGGACTTATATATATTAAATAAGAAAAAATCTATAATTATATTAATGTAAAATATTTTCATTCTTTTCATTACAAGTTATCAACATAATGAGTGAAAAGTTCAAGAAAAAAATTAAATATTAAATAAATAAGATTTTTTTTATAAAATGAAGTAAAAACATACAAAAGAGTAGGGATGTAACGATTCACTCATCTCACGATGCGATACGATTCACGATACTGGTTTCACGATACGATTTTCTCACGATTTTTTTAACAAATGCGATTTAAGACAAAAGTGTCCCTTTTATTATTTCTCAGACAAAATGCTGCACATTTCTTTTTAATTTAAAATATATTTCTCAAATAATAAAACTACATTAAAAAAATTCCCTTCAAGGTTGTTTCAACTCAGTCTTTCTGTCTGTTTGGTCAAGAGGCTGGACACTGGTACCTTCGCACACTATGTAAAAGACTGTGTAAAATTAGTAGTACCAGATTGACAGGGGTTTTACATTGTAATAAAGGCAAGATTCTAATTTTGTTATAATTTGTATCATTACACTAGTAAGAGTAAAAAAAAAACACATTTAGAGAAAGAGATAGTAAAATAAATACAACACCTGGTTGCCACGGAAACACTGATGCACCTTGTGATCTCCGTGGCTCTCGCAATTGTAGTATTAATGACTTTTACATGAAAACGGAGGTGACTGGTGTTACTCACGGTGGTGATTATTATTAGTCTACGGAAAGTCAAAATGCCGCCACACCTCCGATTTGAATGAGTCAACGTCAACATCTACGCTTGCCGTCGCCAAAGCCATGTCTACTGTTTGACGGCACGTGCACACCAGTCTATGGCACACACTGGTGCGGCGCGAGCGGAGCAAACCGAGCGTTTTCAGTTCATTCCTATGGAAGTTGAGCTTGGCTCACACAAGATCAAGTTCCATGAATGAAGTGAAAACACTCGCTAGCTTCACGCCAGTGTGTGCTCGCTGCTATTGTGCTATTGTAAAGCGAGGTTCACAACTTCACAGTAGGCTATAGTAAACGCGCCCTGCTGTTTAAAACGTGTATCGCGATTCGTTTAACATTTCAACCGACTTGAATCGTCACACATTTTTATCGATTTTCAACCGGTTGCGAGTGAATCGTTACATCCCTACAAAAGAGGAGCAAATATTACTTCGAAAAAGCTTAATTTAATAAACGAATTTGTCAAATATTGTACTTTTACCTTTCAATATAAAAGATTAAGATAAGAATTATATAACTGTTAACAATTTTCTTTTTTCATTACAAATTATCAACATAACAATGACAGTGAAAAGTTTAATTTACAAATAAAATAGTAAATCAAAAAATACTTAAAGTCCCCGTGTAGTCAATAATTGTATCCCTTAAAACTCATCTTTGATCACCAAAATGACATATTTAAACATTTTTTTTTCCTGTGAAAAAAATGTATTCATGTCTTAAATAGCTTGAATATATCTCTACACCCTTGCTTAATTTAGTATACGTGGAGTCACGAATATGCAAATGAGCCCCGCCTCCACTCACTCATAGAGGCTCATCTACATGTTGATGTATCAGAATGGTAATGCGTTTTATGTATCACTGACTCTACAACGTCGGACGCATAACTGTAATTATCATGATTAGCCTTTGGCTTGACTACGTTATCAAACAGCTAATAATGTGTTGCTAATGTTATTCAAACCATGTTCCTGTCTGCCTTCTAACAATCAGCATCCTTAGAAACGCTTTGAACAACTTGGAAAGATATACAGTTCATGCTTGTGACAAGGGCGATTTCAAATTGTGTTTTTGAGTCTCTTTTTCACTGCAGTTAAGGAGAAAATACTCAGCAATGGTGTTGACTGATGAATTTGCACATGGTTTGTCTGAAAGCATATTAAAAACACCACATAGACATATATAAACAACATTAAAAACTTGACAGGGGGGTCTTGAACTGAATGAAGTAAACGACAGTGTGTATTTGTGTGATACTGCAGTTGCGATCTGTGTGTTTGTGTAGTTCTGGACACGGCCGGACAGGAGGAGTTCAGTGCCATGAGGGAGCAGTACATGAGGACCGGAGACGGTTTTCTCATCGTCTTCTCAGTCACCGATAAAGCCAGTTTCGAACACGTGGACCGTTTCCACCAGCTTATTCTGAGAGTGAAGGACAGGTACCAACACACAGTGCGATTTACTTGACAAAAACGGAAAGTTTTTTTCCTTCACATTTTTCACGTACAGATGACAACGTTGTCAAAACAATACCAGTTCACACCAATCAACTAAAAACGCTGTGTTATTCATGCCAGGCCAGTAGATGGCGATGTCAAAAGAAACACTACGCGCCTATAGACTGAACACATAATTCACATGCGCATGACATCACTGTTTTCGCAAATTGTAATTTTTTGTTGTTTACTCAGCAGGGCTCCAGACAAAAAAAAATCACTTAAAGGAACACTCCGACTTTTTGGGACTTTAGCCTATTCACCTTATCCCCCAGAGTTAGATAAGTCCATACATACCTTTTTCATCTCCGTGCGTGCTGTAACTCTGTTTGACGCACCCACCGCTAGCCTAGCTTAGCACAAAGACCACGGCGCGTCTCAGGTGCTGCGGTTATCACTCCGCCCAAGTAGCAGTGCTTCGCCTTCAGAGAATATAGTTCCCAGTATTTATACGGTTAAAATATGTCTGTCTCATGTGACTTTGTTTTTTGTACACTGTGTGACTATACAAATCACAACATGTAAATAGGTAAATGTTTGCGTTATTTTGTCACTTATTTGGATTAGTATGCTAGCTGCAACCATTTACATCCAGTCTTTGTGCTAAGCTAGGCTAGCTGTGGGTGCGTCAAACAGACTTATAGCACGCACGGAGATGAAAAAGGTATGTATGGACTTATCTAACTCTGGGGGATAAGGTGAATAGGCTAAAGTCCCAAAAAGTCGGAGTGTTCCTTTAAGGCATCAAATAATTTTTTTAAGATCCACATAACAATGAACTTACATTTTAAATCTGATTTTATTAGGTCAACACAACAAATGGTGTGATATTAGGCTCCTGGTCGGTCACAGAACGCGCACATAACATGCACATTTTACAATCACAACGTGTCAATTTGTATTGTCGCCAGTGTCGATCTCAAAAAAAAAAAAAAAATCACTCACAAATTAATATTTTTTTAATATTTGTTAGAGCTGGGTTTCGATTCAAATTTCAAGAATCGATTCGATTCCGATTCTCAAGATCTTGAATCGATTATCATTATTCGATTCGATCCGATCCGATCTGATCTGATTTTCGAGATTTAGATATGAGTTTTTTTGTTTTTTCCAGCTGTTACCTGAATTACAGGACTGTAGTTATGCAACATATTGATACTATTAGGCTATTATAGACATTTAACTGCTTGTTTTGAACTTCATGCATGTGTATTGAATGTTAAACAAGTTCATAATGATAACAAACAAGACTGTTTATCGTGGTGATGTGTAGCCTACAGAGGCTTCGCACAGACAGTGAATGAGAGAGATCGGCAGAGCGCGTGCGGGTTACCTGCTGCTGTCTTTGAAGTCATATGTATTCGTGAAAAAGGTTGCCGTGTCAAAGGAAAGCGAAATATTTGTCATATCATCCTTTAAACGTTCACGTCACGGGTATTTACCATAAATGTGCGTCAGGAGCAGCGCTGGTCAGCATTCCACAGCGCGAGGAAGCCGCGGGGAAATAAAATCAGCGAGTCACGCATTGAATCAATGCCATATTGGTCTCTAATAAGTGAAGCATCAGCTTCAGCGTTACCCATGCGACGCATTGCTGCTCAGCTGAGCCTTGAAAAGTGGAACTCCAAGTTAAAAATAATTAACACCTTGTTTCATTACATCTCTTTTAATGAATCAGCTTTTTTGAACGTGTTCTTTGAATGAACGAATGACTCACTCAAAGCCCGATGTTGAAACAGTGTGCGCGCTGAGTGAAAGCCTTTCAATGCGCATACAGGGATCTCCCAGTCGCGGCAAGTTAAAGTTCCTATTATTAAATCGATCCTCTGAGTTACGGATCGATCTTTAGAAATTAATATGAAAATCGATTCAGAATTGGTGAATCGATTTTTTCAACACAGCCCTATATATATTATCTCCCTGCACAGAGACGATAACGGTATCGTTTCAAAAACTTGCTCTTTGAAACCCGTTTTCAAACGTTTGTGTTTTCAGGCCCCCAAAACACCGGTCGTGTAACTGCCAAAACAAAGTTTTTAGTTGAAAGCTGTGAGTAAAAGCCCCTGACTGTGTCTCCTGATTGTGCCTGTGTCGCAGGGAGTCGTTTCCCATGGTTCTGGTGGCAAATAAAGTTGACCTGGTGCATTTACGCAAGATCACTAGTGAGCAGGGACGAGAGATGGCCTCCAAACACAGCGTGAGTGAAACCTCGGACATCATTCTGAATGAACCAGCATATTCATATGAAAATCATATGGTTTTATCTACTGGGATTTGATTGGATTGTGAAAAGTAAAACATGTTAGGAGATTATGTTATTGGTTAGTATTATTTTTCCAACTCACAAGGCCTCGATTACATTAGCAGAATAAAAAAGAAAGTTGGTATGTTTTGATGAAAAATTCTGAAAAATAATAATGTTTTACTTCATTATTTTTATATTATATTTTTACATTATTTTTTTATTATTTTAATATTCGTTATTATTATTGATCCCTTTGTGATTATATAATCTTATTTAATCTTTGAAAAATATTTTAAAATATATTTTACAATAATGCAGACCATTAAATATTTCACAATAAGACCAATGACATTTTTCTACATTATTATTTTTATGTTTACATTATTATTACATTATATTTTTGTTTTAATATGAATTATTATTATTGATCTATACACTTGTTATTATTTAACCTTTTATTTAAATACATTTTTAAAATATTTTACAATATTGTTTCATAATGCTTGCAAACCATTAAACAGTTCAGAAATGTTTATTATTAAGAAAGCGTCAATTTTGCTTTCATGTTGAATCTTTTTCATTTTCTTATCAGACATGTTATAATAATAATATAATTATTATTTATAATAATCATAGATCTTTTAGAATCACACATCACACCTATTTTTAAAAATATGTTTTACAATATTGCAAACCAATAAATAGTTCACAATAGGACAATCAATGTTTATTAAGAAATAGTCCATTTTATTTTCATGTTGATTTGTTTATTCATTTTTTCTCATCAAACATGTTCTAATATTTTAATACTAAAAACAACAACAACAATAATATAATTATTATTATTAATTTAATTGCAACAAATCTGCTATTAATATTTTTGCTATTATAGTTCTTCATCACATATTTCAGACATCTTATTAATCAATAATTTGTTATTAATTAATCTTTTATGCAATATTTTACAGTATTTTCTTACAATAATGCAAACCAATAAATAGTTCACAATAAGACCATCAACGTTTAAGAATTTTGATTTCATGTTGAATTTTTCATGATTCTTTCTTATCAGACATGTTCTAATATTTGTATTAAAAACAATAATATAATCATACTAATAATACTAAATCTTTTTTTAATCATGTCACATTCACTATGAATAATTTTTGCTATTCTAATTGTTGTGTTTTTATGTCTTCATCACAGATCACGTATATTGAGACGAGTGCAAAAGATCCGCCCATGAATGTAGACAAAGCGTTTCACGAGCTCGTCAGAGTGATACGGTGCGTCGGAGTTACGTCTAGTTTGACCCTCCGTATGCTACAAAGCTAGCTACGCGTTAGCATTCCCGTTCGTCTCAATAGCATTGATGTTGTTCTCTGTTCACAGTCAGCAGATTCCAGAACGGGGTCTGAAGAAGAAGAGGAAAGCCAAATGGCGGGCGGACAGACCTTCGGGTTCCCAGAGGCTGCACTGCGTCTTACTGTGACCGCACACCCTCTATCTCTGGGCGTCAATGCCGCGATGATGACTCCAAGACTCGGACTGTTAAAACACACGCACACACACACACGCAAAGCTATGATAATATCCAGGAACTAGAGAACACAGATTCAATATTCAATATAATGTGGAATTTCAGGCAGTTTTCATGGGATTTTAATAGCAGGTGAAAAATGACAGGATTCTAGCGCTGTTCACTCATGTTATTTCTCAGAGAACAATTCAGAGACACACTTTCTGAGGCCTTGTTTTGTATTGTGTTTCTATATTTATTGTGCTGAATTCTATATTGTTAAGTGATTGTTAATACAGCGTAATGGCTTTGAAAACGGTCTGTTCTTGGAATAGACGTCCGCACTGATCAGAAATACAGTTGCACAACGGGCATATATAGATGCAATCAGAATGGGGGAGGGGCAAATACTGGTTACCATGGGTACCATATTTTTATGAATAAAATGAAGATACATTTCCAAAACACTGCAAAAACAAAACAAAAAAAAACAGCAATAGGGTTACGCGCATGACAATAAAATAACACAATTACATTCAAATTTAACATGAAATTATGTTTCAACAACATTTTACCATAAAAGTGCTCACATTGTCTTATTAAATATAAATACGTTTTACCATATATGGTAAGGGAACATGATGTCATCCAAGAAACATTTTTCTGTAGCATTTTTTTCCCATTCAAATATTACTCCCATCTTTACAGTGTAACTGTGGCTATTTTAGACATTATTCGTTAAAAACATTATTTTATAGTTTATTTTAGTCAATTGGATGGCAGAAAAAATACAAAAATAAGGTGCGTTCATGCCATGTTGTAATTACATCTTGTAAAAAGCGTTCACGTCTTCGCCGAGCTTGTAAGATGTGAATTTTCTAAGAGGTCCTACTTGTACCATGTGACCGCTGTACCACCTGACCGCTGCAGATTCATTTAGGCGTTGATAGTGTTGCCATAGAAACGCATACTTCCGAGGACGTAAACAGCTCCAAATATAATGGCACATGTAATAATTACGGTATTACAGATTACGGTAAGTACAAAATGGCGTGAACGCAGCAATACTTTTCAGTATTTTCTTTCTAAAAAGCGGCAAACCTGATCTTACGGGAAAACGTAACTATGTTACTAGGCAGCGCTTTTGTATGAATTGGTACAATGTAGGCTAAATCGTACAAACTAACCCCACCACTAAATGTAACCGCCACTGGGGCGTAAGCAGATCATACAAAAACGTACGAATGAGATTGTACGAATTAGATACGAATGCCAATAAAGTGAAACAGTTACTAATTGCCATGAGATTCATTTTCCGCTTAGAAACAACACATAACTATGGTAACCGGAATTCGTTCACCTGGCGCTAAACCACGCCCCCAATGTGTGATGCGTTGCTGACCGTATCCAGAAAAACTCAAAGATTGATGTTCTTTCATCAGCTCCTCTTTGACTATTTATGATATTATTATCAAGATCTGTAAGACATCAGCTGATTGTAGATCAAGACTATCACGATGAAAGTTTTGTACATTTAATGCCTGATCTCAATTACGTTGCCATAAAACTGAGTCAATCAGTAATTGCACAAAAACGTTACAGTGTTACATTGTGTCTTTGATGCTTTTGTTACATTGTTACAATGTAACATTCTACATTGTGACATCAAGGAGCATTACGAAGTCATTAGATCGAGGGACTCGTTCCGCTTTGATCTTGCGTTTTTCTTTTTTCGCTCGTCTTGAATGCATCGTCACTTTATTTTGAATGCGTTATCGCTCGTTTCAAAGTTCTCATTGATGTTTTGAATGTATCGTATGTTATTCTATACGCCAGTTTTGCTTTTTGATGTTTCAAAAAGTACAGCTTTAGTGTTTAGCATATTAAAGGAACATCGTCCGAGTAGTTTGTTTTGTGATTCGTCTGCCCTTGTTTTCCCTACGTGTTATTTTAAGCTTACGAAAGCAGATCTGTTTTGTTTCAAAGACTGGATGTCCTCCTGACATTTTCAATTTTGTTTGAAACTTGGTGCAAATTTTGTGGTTCAGTTATTACTGGATTTATTTTATTTTTTTTGCTATTGTTTTCTTTTTTAAAGTAATTTATTATATAAATTCTATGTATTCTGTGATCATGTTTGTATTAAGATGAAGTTAATTAAGGCCAAAAACATGCTCTGAAAAAAGAAGGGATTTTTTTGCATCAGGAATATTGTAAGAATTTGTAAAGTGGAATATAAACATTATAATAAAAATCTAATAAATCAAACATTTGTCCACACATCATTTGATTTATTTATTTTATTTGAATAAATGCAGCATGATTTAGTTGTTCAAAGGAGGAACTTCATTCAATATTGTAGTTTATTTTCGGTTATAATACAGATTTGTTTTCTTTGAGAAACTAATTACACATATATACATCTTAATTTAACAATTGCTGTTGAATAGTAACTGACAATAATAAATAAATGCACAAATAAAATAGCATAAATAGCTTTTAATTTATGCTTTACTCCATTATTCTTTACTCTTTATCATTCTATTATTCCCATTGTTTGCGTTATACCTTTTCAGCCACATGGTGGCGCTATTTACTAAGGAACACTGCAGAGTTCAGAGAAAGTGTACACCACAAGTTCAAGAAAAACAGATTTTTATTCTTTACCTTCTTTATATGAGAGGAAATCAGTCACCGGATATGAAACACGTGTCGACACGCTATGCCAACTAATATTCATAATTATTAGAACAACCATACCGCACAATTCACCCAAACACTTAACAGAAAGAAGTGCTAATAATTTACAAGAGGAACATATAATAATTGCAATGCCCCTGTGACATCAAAAACCATTTGCAGCACTTTCTGAATGGATTTAGAGCACGGAATAGTAGTGATTTGCTGTTGTTATTGTGCTGAAGTCCCACAGTCATTGTGACAAAAGGAATAACGGCAATTCAAGGTCAACGTTCCTGTGTAGCCCTGCATCATAAAGAGATATGTGTATTCGGCTCACTGCATGGTCACTTCAATATCCAAAAATATATCGTTTTAGCGTCTTTTTTTCTGCATGTATTTCTTCCTCAGAACTCATTACTGGTGGAAGAATTTTAACATTTAATCTTCAAACGGTTTCATCAATTGAACCAGCTTTCAGACATCAAAAATAGACTGTTAAATTTGAACCAACCAAAGGGATCTGTCCCCAAATTTCTGGCTCATAAATTTTACATTTGCCTTATAAAACAACGTCCCTTAAGGCTGCAAATCTTTTTAGTTTCTCGCCGTCGTACAAACCATCATGAGAAGATAAAAAAAATTCTGCAAAGTTCATTCAAGTTAAATTGTGGAGTAACGTTACAAGTTAAACTTACAGCTGGTTTAAAGGAACACTCCGACTTTTTGGGACTTTAGCCTATTCACCTTATCCCCCAGAGTTAGATAAGTCCATACATACCTTTTTCATCTCCGTGCGTGCTATAAGTCTGTTTGACGCACCCACCGCTAGCCTAGCTTAGCACAAAGACTGGATGTAAATGGTTGCAGCTAGCATACTAATCCAAATAAGTGACAAAATAACGCAAACATTTACCTATTTACATGTTGTGATTTGTATAGTCACAGAGTGTACAAAAAAACAAAGTCACATGAGACACAGACATATTTTAACCGTATAAATACTGGGAACTATATTCTCAGAGGGCGAAGCACTGCCACTTTGGCGGAGTGATAACCGCAGCACCTGAGACGCGTTCTCTCTGCTCCTCACCATGGCGCGTCTCAGGTGCTGCCTTCTGAGAATATAGTTCCCAGTATTTATACGGTTAAAATATGTCTGTGTCTCATGTGACTTTGTTTTTTGTACACTCTGTGACTATACAAATCACAACATGTAAATAGGTAAATGTTTGCGTTATTTTGTCACTTATTTGGATTAGTATGCTAGCTGCAACCATTTACATCCAGTCTTTGTGCTAAGCTAGGCTAGCGGTGGGTGCGTCAAACAGACTTATAGCACGCACGGAGATGAAAAAGGTATGTATGGACTTATCTAACTCTGGGGGATAAGGTGAATAGGCTAAAGTCCCAAAAAGTCGGAGTGTTCCTTTAATGCCTGGCTCACACTACAGGAGTTTTAGGCCGATTTATGCCCGATTTCCCCCTCCCGAGAATCGGAGAAAAAATCTTGTTGATGACCTCGATCGGTTCCGATGTTCGGCACAGATTATCTGGTAATGTGAGGCGTTCACAGATCGAATCTTGCACCTCCCGATCTGCTCTCACACAAATCGGGCTCGCCCCGATCATATCAAACATGTTTGATATTTATCGGGATGAGCAAGATTGTGATTACGTCAGTACTGCCACATAGCCAATAGGAAACAAGTCTACGACGAGACGGAAGTGACGGACATTTCGAAATGGCGACCGCGAAACTTGTAACACGGATCCGTTGGACTTCGGAGATGGAGGAGAGACTTGTTGAAATGTGGCAACAACATGAATGCCTATACAACGTTTCTTCAAAAGTGTACCATAACCGCACCGATAAAGAGAAGAGCTGGGGAGAAATCGCATCTGTTTTAAACGTACCAGGTGAGAATAACGTAAATTGTTAGCGCACTAGGCTAGCAAATGTAAACATTAACTGTTGGAATGTCAGTTAACCTTACCATCTGCTACATACATGTCTGTCAAAAGATAACATACCAATTCATTAATATATAACGTCCACAAGACACTCTCAAATCCCTCACACACACACACACACACACACACACACACACACACACACACACACACACACACACACACACACACACACACACACACTCACTCCTCTCTCAACAGAGCATAAAGGTAACCATAGACTGTAAAAAAAAATCAAACACAGGCACCAACCTTTATAATTGTTTTATATTATGTTTGTTTTTCACATTTTGAGAAAAAAAAATAATTCAAGGGACATTAAAAGATTAGTATTGCCCATTTATATTTTAATAAGATTAAAGCTGAATAGAGGTGTTTATCAGTGTATGTTGTGTATTTTCAGTGGAAGAGTTGAAGACAAGAGTAACCACATTAAGGACTCAATTTACAAAACTTCTCAAACCCAAACCTAGTGGCAGTGGGGAGAAAGGCCTCACAGAGAAACAGAGATGGCTATTAACTAACTTGGACTTTCTGAAGAAACATGTTGCCCAACGCCCAAGTGAGACCAGTGTAAGTATGTAATACTATGAACAGACATGATGTGCTATTGTGTCTTTTACCTCTTTCCTTCACCCCATGAAGTTTTTTGTGAATTATGGGGGTAACTTCTGTTAAACTATAAATAATCAGTGATGTGTTTTAAAAATGGGGTACAAATGAGGTGACATTATTCTCCTCTCAGTTCATCCATTCAATATTTAAAGAATACTTAATTAAACTAATTATTTTCAGCAGACCACAAATAAAACCAAAAAAAACAGACATGTCTTTTCGCAG